ATTACTGAGGCCAGATAAAATTATGATGATCGACGTATCTATCACCTTCATGACATTCACATTCTTACTGTGGAGAATTACAAATATTATAGTAATAAAAATGTTAGGGCAAGAAGCCATGCTAGGTCTGGGAGGACCACACCAAGAAGCCAGTTCATCTTTCCGGTAAGCAGTGCAAACCACACATGGCCCAGGAAAGAGAAGCCAGATCGCCCTTCCCATGAGTCAGCAGAATCCATGCTGGCTCTGGGAGGACCCCACCAAGAAGCCAGTTTGCCCTTCTGGTAAGGTGCACAAACCATGCAGGGCCCAAGAAGTGAGAAGCCAGATCTTGTGATCCACAACCAGTGTGTGGGCTGAGAATCAAGAACTACATACCCCGGTCCCACTCACAAGCAAATGGCTAGTTCGAAGGACAGGATGAGTTGATAGCAACCATGGCACAAAAACAATTAAAGGCTTATATTGTTTGGTTGACTTTGCAGGGCTAAGGCCAGTAGTCTGAGCATCTACTAGAAGGACAACAGTATGCAATATAGCAAATACAGAGATTTCCTTCTGTCTTGTTTTTGAAATTGTGTATCGATCTCACTGGCTTGTTTTGTTTCAACTTATTGTTTTGTTTTATTCAATGTTGTTTTGATTGGTTTTTCTTGTTTTGTTTGATTTTAGTATGTCTAGTGGAATGGACAACTACTGTAAAGATAACACGATGTATTATGGTAACCACTGTTAATTTCCTAGTGTCCTGCTTTGATGTTCTGTACCACTGTCACTGTCTTGTTTTGGTTGGCTTTACTCTGTTTTTTTCACTGGGTTTTATTCCCTTTAAAATAATAATAAAAAAAAATGTTAGGGTAAGAGCTGGAGATTTATGGGCATAGCATAGTATATTATGTAAGGGTTGCCAAATCCAGTCTCTCTTTACTTGCTATTCAAGGACTCAGTGAATTGAGGAAAAGTTGTTGGGAAAAAGATTCACTTGGTAAACCACCAAAACCGAGCAGACAGCAGACTACCATCCTCAAAAAAGATGATAGAAGCTCCTTTGAGCTTTAGGCAAGAGAAACAAACAGCTAGGTTAGGAAATGACTGATGACTGTAGACTTCTGGGGGCCTCTCTAGTTGCCTGGAAACGGATGAGGCACATCCTGGTGCCTGGTAATCTGTTGACGTGGCATGGAGTCACAAGAACATGAATATAAATCTTTTATACTGTTTTGTTTTTTGAAACAGGGTCTTGCTTTGTAATTCAGGCTGTCCCTGAACTCTATGTAGCCCAGGCCAGCCTCAAACTCGGGGCTGATCCTTTTCCCAAAGCCTTCCCAGTGCTGGGATTTGTAAGTTGGAACGTTTGACTCTTGGAAACATGGCTTTGCCCCTTAGTACTAGAGATTTGGGGCAATCCTAGCATCACCACACCCAGCACCTATAAATCTTGAAAACAAGGTGTCTTAAGTTGGTTTTTTCTTGGCACCATGAATGTTGAAGGGAGAGGAGTGGGGAAGTTTTGGTGAAATGAATTTTGTTTCAGAAAAGCATTCTTTAAATGATTAGCAAAGGCTGCATACTCAGCAAGGCATAGGGAGACTAGGGTGAAGGCTAGGGCCACAGGCTAGGGCACACAGGGCAGCAGACAAGGAAACAGGGAGCTGTAGGGGGCACAGAGAGACTCAGAGGTGACAGGGGAGTTCAGGAAGGTATGTGTCCAAGGAGGCGTACTTTTCAACCTCAACCCCTTATCATGCAGGAATTAGAGTTACATGTCACCAAGCTTGGCTGGCACAGGCATTTTCTGAGAGGTCTTAGCCACAGCAAAGTCTTTTTTCTTTCTTTCTTTTTGTACCACGGATCGAACCCACGATCAAGCTCATTTCAGCAAGAGTGGGACTCATTCTTTTACCCAGCAATGCTGATGGAACAGGGCTAACAATTTTTTGATTGCTAACCTTGTGATGGCAATGTTCTAAATACATTTTATGTATGAATCTATATAACAGAGAAGGAAATTGAGACACAAAGAATCTAACTCATTTGTCAGGGTCTCAGAGAAGATGGTATCCTGCTACATTCTCTCAGGGTCACAACACTCACTTCCATCAGCCAGGGAAAGTTTCACAGCAACCCTCTAATATGCACATGATCATCCTCAATTTACTGAGAGCTGAGTGAGATACTAGAAAGAAAACAGAGCTCAGTGAGATACTAGGATTGCCCCAAATCTCCAATAGTAAAGGGCAGAGCCATGTTTCCAATAGTCAAAAGTTCCAAATTTCAAAATTTCCAATTTTCAAAAAAAGACAAACTAGACCTTGTCCTAGAATTGAATTACTTGCTTTAAAAGCAATCCCGGTTCATCCACTGTCTAGCAAGTGACCAAGCTTCTATAAGCCACATCACCAGTCACCTGCCAATGCCCACATACCTAAGCAGCCAATTAGCAACCATCACACAGAATCGAACTCCGGTACCGATAAAAAGGAAAAAAACAAACAAAAAAAGTCACATTTTTATTGCTGTGTCTGACCACACACAGATCCCTAACCTATGTTCCCCAAATCCAACTGGATTGGTTCTCTGCTTTGTCAATACTAAGTACAGTATTCTCTTGCTAAGCAATCTGTTCAGCTTATTTTTTAAATGACAATGAGCTCTTCTTCCAACACACTTGGTCTTTTGAACCCAAAGATAAATCTCCCTTTAACTTTAGCTCCTATTCTGGGGAAGGGAAACCTTTAAAGCATTGAAAACTTTTGCCCTTTGACCCTAAGCCAAGGACTAACCTTGCCTGAAATGAAGTCAGCCAGGGAAAATGCACCATATCCCTTTGATTTACCGAAAGCTGAATTTGATTTTTTTCCCCAATTACTCCCCATTTACTGATGACACAAATACGTATTTATAGTTGCAGTTACCCTTTGTTGTCCACATGGTACAGAACTTCTAGAGCCAAGCAGATAAGCAATATGCCCAGGAGAGTTCTGCCATTTCCAGCAAGTAAGGGCACTGCTGGAGGCCAAACACCACACATGGAAATGCAACTTGAAAGCAGATACTTTTCTGAATGGCCAGCAATACTACTGTTTCACAGCTGACAGCCCACTTACTATATCATTAGCCAGCTGGGAAGAATATGGAGAAACTATCCTAGGCACAGAATACAGTGGCTTATTTATCACACTGTAGTTAGAAATAGTCTTTGCAGTTTAAGTGTCCTGATCAAACTGTCACAGGATGGGGTCCAAGCAGGTCCCCAAAGACAAGGTGAGCACGTCAACTAAGCTTGCTGAGTATATATCTTGATTCTGATCACAGAAAAGAATTTCAGGACACGTTAGTGTGGGACACAGAATGGCTTTATTAGGCATAAAGTACACAGAAAAGAGTATACTCAAGAGAGATGTGAGTAATGGGAATATTTAGCTGTTCTGTCAGGTGGAAATCTGTAGTTTGTGAATCTATAGAAATCTCAGGTTCAATTTCAAATCTATAATATTATTTTTAAGATAGGTGATAGGTGATGTTTTGCCTAAAAAATATTTGAATCCTTTCAATCTATTTTTATATCTTAACATCAGGTTTCTGTACTTTGTCAGCTAAACTAATTTATGGATTTACAATATCTGTAAGGGATTTCTGTGTTTAGGGTGGACCTGAAAGCCCAGGGACTGGATAATCATGAGTAACTGTGTGTCCTGAAGATGCTGTCTTTTTTTTTTTTTTTTAAAGGTACAATTTTAAAATTATTTTCTCTCTCTTTTCTCCTTATCTTTATTTCTTCTAGGCCACCTCAAAACCATTTTCTAGCTGAGGTTTATAGCAAGCAACTGACTTATCTCCTTATCTGAAAAAGATAATCATAAAGACTTGTGGGGGAAGTTAAGAAAGGTAATGTACAAAACAAGTTGGCCCAAGTCTCACTTTATGTCCATTTATAAAAAAAAAGAAAAAAAAAAAAATCAACGGTCTTTTTTTTTTTTTTTTTAATTTTTTTGGTAGAGAATTGAACTCAAGAAGTAGTCTTTTATAGTGAGGTTGCTGTGGGGAAAAGGTTTCTGGCATGGCACATTTCCCAGCAGCCTTTGCAAAGGTGTGGTCATGTGACCAAGATCTAGATATTGCAAAGGAGCCTGAGTGGGGACTGCTGCTTTCTGACATGCCTCCTACAAAACCTCTCATGCTGCTCTCCAGAGTATTCCCAGGGCGCATCTCTATCATCATCCCATCCTGATGCATTGCGACAAGTTTTATAACCAACAGAATTTCACACTCAAGGAAGCATCTCCACTGCTCCCCCAACCCCTGGATCTCTTTACTGTCCACATATTCCATGGCCCAAGAAGCAGTCATCTGCTGGGAGGTGAACAACTTAAAATATATGAAGACTTTACTGTCAACTATTCAATATACAATAAGAACTCCTAACTACATGTTATGGCTTAGATCTAAAATGGCTGTAAGCCTCGTGTGTTTGTGGTGACCTGATTATGGGGGCACTGCAGCAGACTTGCTGATTGGAGACAGGGTCTGGTGAGAAGTGGGCCATGTGGGTATGGCCAAGAAGGGTGTATCTCCTCTTCCAGCCCTGCCCTCGGTCCTTGCTGGCATGAGTGTGCAGCTCTTCTCTGCCCCAACCCTCCCACCATGCCTTCCTGCCTTACAGCTTAACAACTGAGGACTAAACACATGATCCCAGAGCACATCTTCTTAGCTGGGGGTGTTGGAGTATTTGTTCTCAAGACCAGAAAATGACTAGGACATGGCACGCAGTTATTTAACTAAACTATCAGGAGTCCTCAGTTCACCGCCATGTGTCAAGTGCTCCATCCCTGCAGGGCGCTGGCAGCTGTGCACCGTGCAGGGCAGGCAAGGGACACTTCTACCTCTGTAGAGGGTACTGTTGGATGGCACTAGCTCAGGTCCTGACACTATCACACTTCACACCAGTGTGAACACAGAGCTCTGCCCCCAGAGCCCAGCATAGACTCTGTAACAGAGGAGACGTCCAGTAATTATTTATTGAAAGTGATGATCAAATGAATCCCAGACCCAGCACACACGTGGGACTCAACATCAGTTCTCCCACATCCCTGGGTCCCCTTCACCTCTGCCCCAGGCCCTGGAGCACAAGCGCTTAGTAGAACTCTTCATCATCAGAGTCTGAGTCAATGCCTTGGTTCTGAATCTGGCTTTGCTTGCGGTACAGACAGGCCACCTGAGGAGAGGGTTTTGGGAGAGTCAGCAGCTTCTGGGCTGCCCCTCCACAGCTGCAGGTCCAAACCGCCTCTCAGAAGTTGGTCTCACCAAGCAAGCCCACCACTGGGAGACTTGGCCCCTCCTGAGGTCTCACCTGCGCACTGGTAGTGGCCTCCTCTGGCTTCTTGTCCTCACGTACGCGAATAAACCGAGGGAAGCGGAGGGAAATCCCCTTCTCACTGTCCACCTGAGGGAGAAGGTGGTCGTAAGGACTCTCCAGGGCTCCAACTGCAGTCTGCTGGCTGAGCAATAACCTACACAGTCTCCTTTTCTTTCACCCTGACCTCAGTTTCCCAATCCACACAATGGGGCTAAGCAATGGATCATCAGGATTAAAACCACTGACAAAGTGCTTAGATCCTCATAAATCTGGTGGACAGTAAGAACTTAAGAAATGCCAGCTATTACTGTTATGTCCTGCTGGGAGGGAAAACACCAGACTTGAGGTATATGTTATAGAACAACACTGGAAGAATCTGATCCATGAGACCCTGGATCAGTCACCTCAGTCCTCTTGGGCACTTTCTCTTCACTGGTGAAACAGAGGTGTTCACAACACCATGCATACAACAGTTCTGTGCAATATGCCAGTTATAACACAGCACTGCCACAGTGAACACAACTCCTTGCACTAATTACCAAGGAACCCTGGCTCCCTTGTGCATAGCATGAATGAGAAATTAAAAGATCAGATCAAAGACAGGAGTTCCCCGTTACAAAAGGTGGTCTGCTTATAGTCATAAAAGCACGTTAGGCAGGTTTTGGAGGATGGAAGAACTTTTCACAGCACTTTTTAAATTTATCCATCACTGTCCTCTTGAAGAGGACAGCAAGCTGCTTGGTGCTGCCAGGGGCTCTGTCTCCAGGCGCATATTGATTGCTTCACACGGTGCCAAGAGTCAAACAGTGGGGGGATCAGCCAGGCAGAATGGTCACAATTCTAGCTGAGAAGTAACGGTAACGCTCAGGAGAAGGATGCTAGGCTTTCATGTAACATATCCCAGTTTTTAAAAATTACTTCAGCGCTTAAACTACGCATGGTGGTGCACATCTCTAATCCCAGCTCTGGGAGGCTAAGGCAGGAGAATTGAAAGTTCAAACACATCTTTGGCAACTGAGTGAGATCCTTCCAAAAGAAAAAATAAAAAGGGCAGGAGATGTAGCTCAGTGCAGAGGTGTTGGGTTCACATCAAGGTAAGACATCGTGTTACAGCCTTACATGCACACTAGTGTTTACAACAGCACAACTCACAATAGCTAAATTCTGGAAGCAGCCTATATGCCCATGAGAGATGAATGGATAAAAAAGTTAAACTTTACATTAAATTAAATTAAGTTAAATTATGGTATCTATACATAAAAGAATACTGCTCCGCCATTAAAAAGCATAAATTTGAAACATTTATAGGAAAATGGATACACCTGGAAAACATAAGGTTAAGTGAAGTAAATCAGACACACAACCTTAAACACTGAATAGTTCCTCTCATTTGAGCAATATAAAATAAAAATAAAGAACAAAATAAAAAACTGATAAAGAGAATCAGGGAGACAGATCTTTCACAAATTGAAAGAGGTCCAAAAGAGCCAGGTGGGTAGCAGGAGTGGGAAGGATTTGTAAAAGGGGTCCAAATGCATCCTGTACATGCACCAAATGCCCACAAGGAATGTCATCAGTGTCTAAATAAACATAAACAACAATGATAATGGGGAAAGGGAATGTAAAGATGGGGGGAGGAAGTGGGTGGGAAGGGGAAGGGAAAAAAAAAGAATCAAAATATGTGAAGTACACATACCCCCTCCCTAGGAGGAAGTCAATACATGTATTGCAAATATATACTAATAAAAGAAAAAAAGAAAAGAAAAGTGTGCTGGGTTCAATCCCCAGAACCACAAAGCAAACAAATCAACAATCAAAAAAAAAGAAAGAAAGAAAGAAAAAAATCTCCAGTGTCAAAGGCAAAATTATGACACAAAAGGGCCCAATGTCACTACCACTGAGGAACCTTCTTAAGATGATTTTTTTTTTTTTTACCCGACTATGTGACATCCAAATATGTCAGTTTTCTTCATCATGCAGGAAGAGCAGATGTGGGCCCAAGAGCCCTACCCCTGGGCTCCACGTTCCCTCCCGGCTCCTGCCCAGGCCCCTGCAGACACTTACCAGGCCCCGGGCAGCAGGGTAGATGGGGGAGAGAGAGAGATCGGCACACTTCACCTCCCACACGGCACTGGGGTCCAGCCAGTGGTCAGGCGCCACGGCACCATCTGCCCGCACATAGGGGCGTGGGGTGGGCAGCACCAGGGCCTGCAGCAGGCAGTGGGAAAGGAGAAGAAGGTGTTGGATCTCAAAGTCAAGGCCACACATTTCAGATTATGTGTGCAGGAGGCAGGAAAATGAGGGAAGGAACAGATAGATGTAGGCACCTCTTAAATTAAAATGCTGGAGAGGCAAGCAGGAATGGGAGAAGGAAAACTGAAAGACTCTGGAAGCAGCCTAAAAGATCATCAATAAAAGAATGGATAAAAACATTAAATTTTGAATGAAATTATGGTATCTATGCATAACAGAATACTAGTTGGTTGAAATGGGATAGTAAAGACAAAAGAGGCAGAGACGAGGGAGACAGAGACCTAGAGGGAGGGAGGGAAGGAAAAAGAGGGAAAGACACCCAAAGAGTGGGACAGCGATGGAGTTAGGAACACAGATGCCAGTACACAAGAGCAATTCACACCCAAATACACCTGGTGTCACGACACCAAGCGCTCGCCTTCACCAAGGCTCTGGAGTTCACAGTGATACTGCTGCAGTGAGCTACCCCAGGACAGCTAAGGAAGGCGCTGATCACAGGGAGAGCAGGCCCCTCAGCCCAGGTCACCAGCTAGTTAACATCCTTCAGAGCTGCAAGTTGGATGTGCTGGGCTCGAAAACTAGCTCTGGTACCCACTGTCCTGCTACCTGCGCCCTGGCCCACAGCATGAGGCCCAAGCTGTGGAAGCACAGAAGGGACTCAAGGCTTGAGGCACGGCACCAGGTTCACCTGCAGGCTCTGGTAATGCTCTTCCAGCTGCTCATCACTGAAGCCCGTTCCAAGCTGCAAAGAGGATGGGGGCATGTCAGTCAGCTCGGTCAGCCAGCTGCCCCTGCACCCCCTCCCTGCTCCTGCCATCCAAGGACCTGAATGTGGATCCCACCCTCTCCAACCAGCGTCCACAGAAACCAGAGGAAGACAGTAGTGTTTGGTCAACCTAAGACTCCCTCTCCCCACCACCAAGGGAAATGTGTCTCCCTCCCAGCAAGCTCTAGTGACTCCTTGCAGCCTTCTTTCTGCTTTAGAGAAAACTTCTTCCCCCATGTGCTCACCAACATCCCACCCACCCAGAAACTGGCTGCTGTTACCCCCAATCTCAAAACTGACAGGAGTTCCCCTCCCCTACCACACAGAAAAGGCAAGGCTACAGAACAATAGCAAAACTTGGTGCTAACAGACAAGATGGGCATCTTCATACTGCTGATACTAAACTTCATCTGGGAAGCCCTTTTTATATTGAGAGCCTTAATGTTTTCTGGCCTTTTGTTTTTGTTAGCTCTTTAAGGTCTATTCTAAAATCAGCAATGTAAAATGGCAGATTAGTGCCCAAAGATACAGTGGATCCTAAAGTCACTTTGTTGATCACTGACCATGAGTGTTAGCATTTGTAAGTGCTGATGTAATTCCTAAGAACTAAGCTGGCTGAAGACCTGCCACCCAGAGACAGGGTGCTGGTTCAAGAAATAGGGGTGCACGCACTTGAAATCATTTTTGGCATTAAATCATGGTGCCATATTACTTAAATGCACAGTAACATTTAAATTTAATACTTATAGAACAAAAAGGCAAAAAGTGACAGAAAATTTCAGCTTTATAAAAAAAATAAAACATTGCCTCTGATGTTACTGCTGTTTACAACTGTACACTGAGACTGTGGGTGACAGTTTTGTCTCGGTGTGTAGCAAAAGACCCAAACATGCCAGAGTGCTACACAGAAAATGCCCATCACAATGTGCACATTAAAAAAATTTTTTTTTCTAAACATCAAAAATAGAATTTCCCAGAATCCTATGCAGACAGGGGTGGACCATGGAGTAAAACTTGGACCAATCAAACTTAGGCAGCAGTTATGCATTGCTGCCACTGACCCAGGTGGCCACCCTTCTCTGCCATGATGGTTTAAACCCTGATGCCATAAAGCCTGAAGCATATGACAAAGACAACTATGGGGAAAGAGACAAGCAGCCTGGATCCTAATGACACTGGACACTGCCTGCCTCTCCACACTCATTATTTGGGAGAAAAGATCTTACTCCAGCTACAACTATTTGCAGTTAAACTCAATTCTTTTTTTTTTTTTTTTTTTTTTTTTTTTTTGTCTTTTTGTCTTTTTATCAGTACCAGCGATTGAACTCATGATTGCCTGCTTGCAAGGCAGGCACATATGCCACTGAGCTAAATCCCCAGCCCTAAATTCAATTCTTGACAGTTTTCTTGTATCTCTATAACTCTACCTTCTTTTTCCATAGGAATCAAGAGTTACTTCTTGAATCAGGAAAAAAATCAAAGGAGGACAACAATACAACTGTCGTTCATGTGGAGTTTCTGGGTCTGGGCCCTTCTAGAGTCTAGATAATCTGCTTTTCTCCCTGCTGACTTCTGTGGGGGAGAACCCAGTCACCAGGAGCCCAGTCACCAGGACCTTGCATATGGCTTGTAGCTCCTCGCTCTCCTCATCATAGGCAGCCAGCAGGAAACCCCCATAGCGGCCGGCTCGCTTTCCCCGGCCCAGGTAGGCGCCAATCACCACGAGATCCAGGGTATCACCCACGCCATCAAGGTAGTCCTTCTTCAGCTGGCAGAGAGAGCAGGAGATGAAGGGGAGCCTCAACAGCTGAAGCTCACCAGGGGGCTAACAAGGGACAGGAATAAGGCTGAGAACATCTGGAAAGAACACTGAGAAGGAGGGTGGAGAGAGCTTCTTGGCTTCAGGCAGAGCAAATGGAAGAAAGGTGAAGTAGGGGCCTCAGGTTACCCCGATTCCTCACTGTCAAGGTCAGCACACTCCACATGCTGGCCTCAAAAAACATTTATCAAGTACAGACTCTCCAGGCAGGCTCTCGGGACTGGGAGTGTGAATGTCTACTTCCTAAGGCAGAAAGGTCTGGACACTTGCCTCACAGCTGTTTGGTCCAGCAGGGGAGACCCAGGACAAAGGGAAATGCAGCACAGACCTGGCCAGCTCAGCCTCTGGGCCCTTCTGCTCCCTCGCTCTTACCCAGTCCACTGTCCTCCACTCGAGATGGGCACCTTGCCGCAGACGGCAGCCCCCCAAGCCTGCTCTCACCTGCCAGCAACTAGCCTTGTCAACTACCTACGCAACAGCCGAAGGATCACTATGGAATGACAACTGGAGCGTGTGACTTCCAGGGTGAAACCTATGCTGGTCTCTCACAACTTCTAGGAGAAAATCCAGTTTTCCCTCAGTGTCCCAACATGCTGCATGAGCTGGGGCCTGCTCTGTGCTCCAAGCTTGCCTTGCCTGTCCCCGCTCTCTGTACACACTAAGCTTGGGACTACCTTGGGATTTCTGCACTGTGGGGCCCCTGCTCTGATCTTTGTGCAACTAACTCTTTTCTATCACCCAGGTCCTGACTGAAGTGTCACCTCCAGAGTGCCTCTCTGGATCACCCGTGTGCTCCCAGCCTGCACCAGGCCCATGCTGACCTGCCCTCTTCAGGTGCTCCTCACTGCCTACTTCATCTTGTTCATGTCCAGGCTGACTCCCTTCTGCACGCCTCACCTGCCAGGGAAGGCAGCTCTGCAACAATGGAGGCCTCACCATTGGGACACCAGGTGGGGCTTTCTCACCTTGGTATCCTCAGGGCTCATCCTAGGTGCCCTCACTGACCAAGCTCCTGAGCTCAAACAAGGTGCAGTTGGACATAAGACACCAAGTTCTCAGTGGGGACAGACTTCCAGAACTAAGGAAGGCCAGGCTGGATGGGAATTACCTTAAGCCAGTTGTGTGACCTCTTAGCAATCTCATAGGTGGCATCAACATCCAAGGTCTTCACCATCAGCCCCTCGCAGGAGTCTGAAGGAAACAGTGAAATATGGCACTTGGGACTTCTAACTCCCCAGGCCTGGAGAAAGCAGGATCCCACCAAATCACACAAGGCTGTGGGAGGGCTAGGGACCATCGTCCACATTGGTAACAAGGAAGCTACAGACCTTGAAGGAAAGAAAGGAGCCACCTCACCTTTCACTGACTGCTCCAAGAACTCAGCAATCTGCTCCATGTCCTTGGTGTCCAGAGAGGTGGCGAAGACAAACTCGCCTTCTGTCTCTACGAAGTTCTCCCGGAGCAGCTGCCGGCGTTGGGACAGGGGTTCACGGACCAGAGACTGATGAGAGAGGGTGGAAAAAAGACCAGAAGGAAACACATGCAAGTTACATGGCTTGATGCTGCTCACAGAAAGCCTTGGGAAGGAAGAACCAGGCTGTCAAGAGGACTCAGAACTACAGGCTCAGAGGCAGCAGCCTAAAACAGTAAAACAGGCTGATAACCATGAAGTTAGTAAACATGTTTCTGAGAGGATATTTTCTACATTATCCAGGGGCCAGCAACTTCTTGGTGAGAACCAGACAGTAAATACAGCTGCCCCTTAGCATCCACAGGTCCTGGAATCCCCGGAAGACATCAAAATTCACAGATGCGAGTCTTTTACATAAAGTGGTGTAGCACTTGTGCAGAACCTTTGGCCATCCTCTCCCAGATACTTTCAGGCTCTAGGGGACTTACAATACCTCGTACAATGTCAGTGCTAAAAACACTACATTCTTTAGGGAATAGTGACAAGAAAAATTCTATGCATGTTCAGGACAGATAAAACATTTCAAGTATTTTTGAACTGTGTTTGGTTGAACCCAGGGATGTGGAACTGGAAGACACAAAGGACTGGCTGTGTTCCTGGTTCCCTGCTGTCTGTCCCAGCACTTCAGCTTTGCTGTTGTAAAGAAAAAGCAGGCACAGACTGGTGTGAGCAAATGGGTGAGGCTGTATCCCAAAAAAAAGTCTCATCTGCAAACACAGGTGGTGGGACAGACCTGCCTTGCAGGCCATAGTTGGCTGAGCCTGAAGGAGTCAACGCTAGCTCACTTCTCCAAAACAAACTCCTTAGCTGTGGAAACAGATGATTCTTTATGGCTGTACTGGCCCTGACTGAACTGATCCAGTTCTCTTATAGGCTCCAAAATCTGATAGCCAAGTGCAGCCTTGTTCAAGATGACATGGGCAGGTTGAGATCTGGACTTGGCAGGTAGCCTTTTCTTTGTCCAGCATCACACAGGTCAAGGAAATCAAGGGAGAAGCAGAGTGAAGAGGAAAACCAGGTGTGGTGGTATGGTGCACATCCGCAATTCCACAACTCTGGGAGGTTGAGGCAGGTGGATTATGAGTTAAAATTTAGCCTGAGCAATTTAGTGATTCAGTAAGAACCTGTCTTAAAGTAAAAAAGGGCTGGAGGTATACCTCACTGTAAGGGCCCTACCAGTAATAACAGAGAAAAAGAAGGAAGGAAGGGAAGAAAGGAAGGCAAGAGGAGAGGAAAAGAGAGAGCAAAGGACCAGGGAAGGAAGTCAGGATGGAAGAAAGGAGAGAGGGAGAGAAAGAGGGAAGGAGAAGTCTCCGAGCTGCCTTGGGACCCACCCCATCTGGCAGAGTGGATTCACTTCTCCAGGCTCCGGGCAAGAAAGCTCCCTACACAGGGAACTCAAGATTCCCAAGCAATATCCCAAAACAGCTGTGTTATCAAACCGTTTAGTCTCAGGATTCCTTTACACTTTTAAAAGCATTGAGTCATCACTCTTTCTGTTTGAGGGGGTGGTTACATCTTTTGACAGTTATCGTATAAGAAATTAAAAATGAGGAATATACAAAATATTCATTCATTCAAAAAGTAGTAAGTACAATGTGCTCATTCAAATAGATTTTTTCATGTGTGTGAGATGCTATGGATCGACTAGACCCTCAAGCATTAAGAAACTGCTCCACCATCAAACTATACCCCAGCTCTAAATAGTACGTTTTTATGAAACATTCATATCTTTTAAAAATTAGCATGAAAAGGAATGTCTGGTATTTGTGTAATTCTTTAAAGTCTGATTTAATGGAGCTGGCTTTTCACATCTGCTTCTAGATTCAGACACTGCTCTGTGTGGCTCTTGCTGCAGACAGGGAGACAATCTGCCTGTGCAGATGTGAGCTGAGAAGAAGGCCTTGCAGAACCTCGTGAGAGGGCATGGGGAGCCCCAGGGTCCCCAGGACCACAGTTTGAGAACCACTGCCTAAGCATGGCCTTCCAGCTCAGTGACATGGCTCAGTCAGAGTCGGAAGCCAGGCTGCCACTCTCTGGCTGCCTAGGCCTAGGACCAAGACTCACCTCTCCATTGAGGTAGATGAGGTCAAAGGCATACAGACACACCTGCACCTGGATTTCTGCAGCATCTACTTCCTGTTGGGGCAGAATGGAAACCAGAAGTGGGAGATGGTAAGGCAGGCCCCACTGGACCCCTCCCCTGCCCATCCCTGAGGCACTGGCTGGTTTCCCACCACTCTCTGCTTCTCAGTTGTGGTTGCACCCCTGCAAAGGTGGCAATACCAGGAGTCCCAGGCCCCTAGTCTCAACAGCTCTCAGCTAATCCTGACGTTACACACACAACCACCCACCCCCTGTGCAGATAACTACTCTCTCAGCCTCCCTGCAGCTAACGACAGTGGCAGATCAAAATTCTGCCCAATCGGAGGTAAAGGGGAAGTCTGCTGGGGTCATACGACAGATGATCTATTATAGTAAAACCACAGAGATGTATGACGCACACACCACTGAGATGCTGAGTTGAGAATGTGATAGCCAGAGTTGTGAGAGTCACTTGGCCAAAGGCTGACAGAATGGCACCCAGACTGACACAACCCTTCTGGGGACAAGGAGGACCCTCAGTCAGGCTGGGAAGACAGGGGCTGAGTAGTTACCTTCCGTTTGCGAGTGGTTAGGACTTGAAACGGCTGGATCTGCTTCTTTTCCCGGTCCCAAGCCACAGCTTCAGTGTCCAGGATAAAGGATGTGACTGAGGGGAGTTTAATCTGCAAAGTGAAGCAAGAGGCACAGCTGCTTATGAGAGGTGGATGGTGGGGTCAGGAGACAGACAGGAGAAAATGAATCGTTTGTCCTTTCTTAATTCTCTAAGCCCCTCCCAAGTAACCATCAGCCTCAAAGAGAAACAAACACAGACCCACTAAGTGAGGAAACTAATACCCCTGACGCTGACTTTTGGTCTGATAAGCTGATCTAGAAGCCTCCTCCATCTCTTCTTATCCATGTGTAATTCTCTGGTGTACTTGTGACTCTCCCTAGCCACTGCCAACAAAGTCTCCAAGCCACATCCCCAGCCCACGTGCCGGCCCAGGCTGCCTCTTCTTGCTGCTGTCTCTTCCTCTAAGGAGTAAACAGCACCTATTTAAGCCATGCTTAAGTGTTACCTGCATCTCTGCTCTGTAAACCTCCACTGTGCAGAGGCACCCAGATGGGTTCTGATTCTCTGCAGCAGCAAGCATGACCCTGCCAGTGAGGGTGCAGCAAATGCCCACCTTGGGGATGCGGCTGATGATGTCGGGGTACTTCCCCGTGTTGTCTTCCTGATTCCTGCTGAAGATCTTCACCTCCCCGCCTTCTAGAAGATGGATCTGCCATCAAGGGAGCAGAGAGGAAACAAGAGCTGAGCCTACCCATCATGGACCCTCCTTTCTCTTCAGGCCCACCCTCCGAGAGAAGGTTCAGTGGCGTAGAAGAAGACTGGAGCAGTATCTCCTGAGCTATTCAGCACTTCCTGCCCATGTGCATGGAGCCTGCCACTGTCACCATGTCCACTGCAGATCCCTCTCCGAGAGTGCACACTGCTCTGTCTAAATGCTACCGTACTGTACCCATTACTCTGGTTTCTACTGCTACCTTAAACAGTCTGTCAATCCTTGAACAAGACTGCATAGATGGCATCTCACATATATATATGTTATAATCTCCGAAACTAGTTATATAACTGGTTCCTAGTGTGTTTGTGTGTGTGTGTGTGCATGATGCGTATGCTGAGGGATAAGGTCAAATAAAGAGAACTGGTTGGGAGGAAGATCTCTTTTCTTAGGCTCTGCTTTGTAATGATGAGATCTGGCTTAGTTTTTTGAGAGGCACTGTCTACCACTTCACCTCATTCAACTTGACTGGGCTCGACGCATCAGAGCCACACTGGGTGCCAGAGGACTGCACCAAGCACCACAGAATGGTACAGCCTGAAGTGCTATGTACTTATACTTGAAATCATGACACTTTCCAGTCATTTTAACTTTTTCTTGACATTGTTCTGAACAGGTTACACTGCCTGTAACATGCTATCTATGGAATCCACTGCCTCAAGGTCCCACTGACACTGTATACGTCCTGCTCCCTGCGAGGAACAGATGTTCCTGAATTCCAACAGGTCAGAGGGACCATGACATACTTCCTTACAGAGCCCAGGATGACAGACATCATGGGACACACTTGCACATTACTACATCAAGGGTCAATGGGTGCCTGCTAGAATGGCTGTCATCGTTGACAAACCTCATACCAGCAGAGACAGCGCTCCTGGACCTCCCACTACCCTTGGCCAGGACAAGCGAGGTCAGCCAGGCAGCATGTAGCAGAGGCAGGGTCTGGCCTCAGGCCTGCTCAAGCCATGGCCCTAGCTCTGGTATCCTTCCATCAGCAGAAGGGCTAGACTTGCCCCATACCTGTGCCCTCTGCCCATCGTATTTGTACTCGCAGGTGAAGGCTGTCTCCTCAAAGCGTTTCAGGACCTCACTGACACCCCGAGTGGGATGGGCCAACATAGGTTTCAGAGGGACCCCTGGGAGGAGAGGGGAGAGTGAGTTAGGGGAGACCAGTGCCCAAGGGAAGGTGCTAAATCAGAGAATGAAGAGGGGAGGAGGCCATGACTGTGCCCATGACCCTCTCCTGTCTTCTGCCTCATAAGAGAAGAATGGGCCCAATCATATTTTAGGGCACTAGGGACCTCAACCCCCAGCCACTCTGGCAGCTAGGAGGTCACGTGACTGGAATACACGTAGGCACCATTTGCAGTATCTGGATGCATCCTTATGGGTAATGTGGCTGTCTCCCCTTCGACTTCCCCTTCAGCACAAGGATGAACTCATGCACGTTACAGGAACAATCTTGGATGGCAGAGGAATGAGACAGAAGGAACTTCAGCCTCTGGGGGATTCCTGGAGCAGTGGCACATGCTCCTTGGCTGTCTGCCTTGCTTTACAGTTACATCACAGAAATCCTACGTGACTCAACCACCTTTAGGATAACTGTTACATCAGCTTTGCCCACAGCCTGCTGGGGCAAAGGGGAAGCCTAAGGAGAGAAGGGAGGCTCTCAGCACTGGCGAACTGGACTCAGTCCTGGTGGGGAGGGCAGAGTGCCCTGCAGGTCCCTGGGGTGGGAGGGTTTGGTAGTTGGCTCTGCAGAGGGTGGGCTGCGACAATACCTGGGCTCAGCCTGCAGTGCTCCGGGAGTCGCTCCAGGCCATGCTCCAGCAGCACAGGGATGATTCGGTCCAGGTCAGGTACCTCACTGGGGTGGGGGACAAGAACAGTTGAGGAGTCTTTCTAGAGGTGGTACGCCCTGAGAACTGGTTAGCTGCAAGTGCTCGTGGGCACAGATCCTGGCCTGTGCCCAAACCTGGCCTCCTGAATGCCTCTGCTTACCTCAGTCACACTGTTCTCAACTCCAGTCCCCTCAATTCCTTGTCACTGCACACCACTCTGACCTTCCGTTAGTCTGAGCCCTGGGAGCTCTGCAAGGTCTCATTCACAGCTGTGTGCCCAGCAGGGGAGGCCTAGCCCACAGTGGGTGCTTGGGGACATATGTGAAACGGCTTGGCAGCCTTCCTGTCTCTGACAGCTAGTGTCTTGCTTTCAGCAGCCCTGGGTCAGTGCCTGGTGAAGGTCCCTCCAGGGTGCCTGCTCCAGGGATGCTGTCATCCACTGTGCCAGCCCTCGCTAAGGCTCAATTACCAGCCTCTTGCTACTCAGGTCTTTCACAAGCAGTCCTGGCTGGAATTCCAGGTCTCCCGACCCTGCTGCCCTGACGTATTATCAGTGCCCTCTTGCAGATCATGCCCTTCACTGTTTGTCACCTTACTGTGCCCTGTGCTATCTTGTCAAGATGAACACCCTTCGCTCTGTCACCAGCCCAATGACAGTCACTGGAGTGTGCCAGCCACTGACCCATTCCTCTACTCAGCCCCAGGATCTCACCAGAATGTCTGCTTCAAGATCATGCCTTGCTCCTCTAGCCATGTCTTTCTGGCCTCTGTGGTCTTGCCTTTCCCAGCATCTACCACGGCCGGAGGGAATTCTAGGAAAACATTTGTCAAGGGTTTTAGGATGGGCCTTATCCCTAAGCTACCCCATGTCCTGCGTGATGCAGGACAAAGAACACAGAGGAGGCTCCTTAAGAACCTTTCTAAGGGAAGAGGAGTGTGGAGGCAGGAACCATGAGGGAGGGGTACGGTATGGACTTCTGAGAAGGAAACCCCAATAACAGGCATGAAGAAGAGTCAAAGTGCTCACCTTGGCCTGGGGGTGTGAGGCTCACAGCCTGGGAAAGGGCAGCCAGCACCGACTGCTCAGCCAACCCGAGGCGCAGCCGTCCACTCAGGGCCCTGGAAAGAGTGAGGGGCGGGCTGGTTCAACATCTTGCCCCTGTCTCTTCCCATCTTTGCCAGCCCAATCCTCTGTAGAATCTCCTCAAAAGCCAGAGCAATCTTGGCTCTGATCTGGGAAGGACCCAAGAAGTTATATAAGCAGATGAGGAAACTGAAGTTAGCCAAGAATGACCATGAGCATCAGGCTTTGGTGATGCCCCTTCTCATCTCCACTGCCCTGAGAGGTAAAGGGGTTTGGGGAGTGTGAGCTGGGCTTGAGGCTGGGACAGGCCCACCCTGGTGGTTACAGTGGTCAAGATCTGACCCAGAATAGGCCTTGATACAAGCAACTGACAGTAAATAGCCCACCCTCCTACACCTCTATCTCTATGTCTGGAGTAAAAACAACAGGATTTGCCTTGCAAAGCTGCTTGGGACTGGAGAGACACGGCACTTGGTGTAGGACAGGGTACCTAAAATATGCTCCAGGACATAAACAAGCAACTATCTTGCTTCCACTGTCATGGCAAACACATGGCTTCACGCTATTTGGCTGCTACTCAGGCCAGGGCAAACATTGCTAATCAACCACAGCATGCTTTGTAGTTGAACTTTGGGACTCTTCTCCAGGTAGCACTACCACAGAACAGCAGTCAGTCTAAGAAGGAAAGTACATCTCACCTTCCTCCTCACCTGGACGTTTGATCATGCTTTTCTCACCCCAGACAGGACCTCAACCAGGCTATTAGCAGTAGCTCCAACAGCTAAGCTGTCCTATCGCACCAGCTAGCCTCTGCAGCCTCAGGGCCCACACTCACCTGGCGATGAACCGGGCTTCTGAGTGGCGGCAGGCAACAAAGAGGCCTTTGATGATATCCATCTTCTTGGTCATGGACTAGAGGAGGGGGAGCAAGAGTCAGAGCCTGGTGGTCAAGAGAGGGACCTCTCCTTCTATGCCACTCCCATGGCCACCTAGTCTCAGGGCAATACAAATGAGCTGGCCTTCTTCCCCACCTCCATCCACCCAGTAAGAGTCCACTGAGTTTGGACACCTAGTGGGCCGGTACACCCCCTGCCCCAAGCACTAGAACTGGCTTGACAGAAGGGCAGGAAACTTCAAACCCGAGAGCAAAACTGAACAGACCGAACCCAAGCGGCCTAAGAAAACATCCCAAGGCGCCTGGGTTACCATGCTAAATACCCTTCACTCACAGCATTGCCAGTGAGCCGGGCAATGTCCCGAAACTTGGAGAAGACTCCAGAGGTGGTAAGAGGGGGTGGTGGCAGCATCAGTCTCTGAGTACTGCGGCTGTTCTCAGCCACCAGCCCAATGTCTCCCTTCTCAACAGCCTCAGCCCGGACAGATTCCAGTTGGCGGCCTTAGGAGGAGGAAAGAAAGCACAGGAGAGTGGTGAAGGGCAATGTGGCTGTATGCCTCTTCTCCAGGGTGGCACATGTGTTCTTCCAGCACACGTGCTCGTTGTCAGGGTCAGTATTTCCCTGTTCCTTTCCTTCCCCACTCAACTGAAACAGCTTGGTAAGCATCTGTTTCCTGTTTCATCAGGTGTAAGAAGCCCTTGGGACAGTCACATAGAATAAAGCAGCTGGACAAATGTGCCTGTGCCTATGCAGGCATCTGAGTGGGCAGTCCACATGCAGGTAAGATTTAAGAGTCATGGGGTTGGGCAGGACCCCCATGCAAGTGGATAGACACAGCAGGCAGGGCCAAAGGGCCCTCCCTGTTGGTCATAGAATCCTCTGGCAGTGGTCAAGTCTTTTGTTTTGTTTGTTGTTGTCACTATTCTGTTTTGAAGTCACCCATTTAACTGTCTTAACTGGGCCTTAACGGTCCAGAATTAGGCTCGTCCATGTTTCCCTAAAAGTGAGAGCAGAGGGGAGACACAGACACAAGTCATAGTGACAACCCTGACCAGTGGCTCTCAGACCATCAGGACCAATATCTGGGTCTCCAAAGATACCTGTGACACCACTTTTCTACCCTGCATCAAATGCAGAGATAATGTAACTCATTACTATGTACCATTTCAAGAGAAAGGTCTTCCATTAATAAGGAAAGGGAATCCAAGAGAAAGTAAAGTATGAGGAGACAACATGCATGGCAGTCTTCTCACATTGGCTGCTTTATGGTAGACACACAGGGTCAGAGCTTGTGTCTGCAAGGGGAATTACCATGAACAAGTCAGCCGCACGTGGGTGGTCGGCGTGGCATGGGGGAGCTCATGTTGCCAACTGTGATGCAATTTTCCCAACTCACAGTAACCCAGGGCCACAGGCAGCCACTGGGGCTACAGGGAGATGTACAGGCCAAGAGCTACCATGCAAAGGATGGAAGTCAAGAGGGGCAGAAAAAGCCTCATGCCTTGGCAAGTTGTTCGTAAGAAAACGAATCCTCTGTAAACTGGTGTGATGAGCACTTGGCTGTTTTGGCTAAGAACATCCCAATGGACATGCTATGCTGGGTGTGGTGCATCACAGCAAGACAGATGGCCCATGTATGAGCGAGGGGGTGGGTCTGAGTCATCCCCCTTGGCCCCTGCGACCCTATCTCTTCTTCCCCACCCCACTGTCTGTCCTTTGTCTTCTCATCAAAACTCCCAATTCCTCCCTCCCTAAACGCTGGGGTCCACGTGACTTGACTGAGCTCCCCGATGTCATTCTTCGGGGACAACTCCCAGAGCTTTGGTCATCTGTCCTATGTTGACCACTCTTAAATCCTGGTCCTGACCCAGATTTATAGAGCTCCAGGCCCAGTGTGGAAACCCCATAAGAAGGCTGCTCGTGAGGGAGTTATTCACTTTCTCCAACTCTGCCTGCCCTTTCCCAGTTGACTCCAGCACACAGCAGTCTATAGCAAGGTCCCAAAAATAGCTGACCTCTTTCCTGGCCCCTGCATTCCATAGCCCCACACCCCACGCTCGCTCTCTGCTCTCACCCACCCCTCTGTTCCTTTCATCTCTGCTTGGCTCATTCTGCCCTGGGACCTTTGCCCACCTTCCTAGCTGGCTTCCTCTCCTATTTGTTCTCCATGTGAGGCCAGAGCCAACTCCACCCTTAGTCCTTCCCTGGTCCCCTTGAACCCCTGATCAGCAGCCAGCACTCCAGTTGCTGCACTGACAGATGGGCCTCTCTGCCTTAGCCTCTGTGTACCTTAATGGCTCAGGCTTGCATTCCTGTTTCCCCATCTACTTCTCGGCCCCCAGGTCCTTCAGGAGCTCTGTTCCCTCCCAAAATATCAGCAATCCTAGCCCCTCCTCTCCATTCCCATAGCCCCTGGCCCAACACAGGGCTGAGCCTCCATTTCTTCAACCACTGCCCACTCCATGCTCCCTCCACCATGGCACCCTCTTACCTGTGGCCTGGGCCACGGCCTTGAGAAGGACACCATCACCAACGCCAAGCTCTAGGCCCTGCTGGGGAGGCCCAAGGCGGTTAAGGGTGAGGTAGAGGACAGGGAGCAGGTCTGGAGGGGACAGGGCCACCACAGAGCGCAGCAAGTTGCTCAGCGTCTCCACCATCCGGAGCCTGGAGGAAAGGACAGGGCTGTGACCACTTGGCTCTTCAAGGTCAACAGAAGGTGTGTATGTTTGTGGTGGGATGGGTAGAAGAGGAAATGGGAAAATGGTAAAATCCCAAGGAGGACTAGGGATCACTTAATGGTGTCACGAGGATGTCCTGGTTTTGACCACTGTCCTAAGCTGAGACAAGTCGGTAACATGAAGGAGAGCTGGGCCAGGACATGTGGGGTTCAGGAACAAGAGAAAGAAGAGGAAACGGCTCACAAACATTCTGAGGAGCATGACCTGAAGCCACAGGCAAAACCACAGACTGCTGGTGTGACAGATTCCTAGACGGTGACAGTGCCACCGGGGAAGTAATAGCAAAGGCAGACAGAGCATTATCTATGTGAGATGCTAGTTTTCAGCACTTTGTATACTTTGATGTACAGAATCCTCTCAGCTCCCCGCTGAGACAAGCATTACCTCTCTAATCCTGAAGATGAAGGAACAGAGGTGCAGGAAGATGATGAGACTCTTGGAAAGTCACAGATATAGTAAGCATGAGGTTGAGACATAAGCGCCCAGCCACAAAAATCAGCTGTGTTCTGCTTGTGTCAGTCAGAAAGAGCCAGGGCTGCCACTGGTCAACTCTGAAGGCTTCATTAAAGAGAAGCTGTGTTTTTCTTAAACAAAAAGAGGCCAATGGACCTTTTTTTTTTTTTAAAGCAGAAATGAGAAACACAAAATCACCACTTGGCAAATGCCACAGTACCAGCTGTTGCAGACAAGAGCCACTGCAGGTCACCACAGCAGATGGGACAGTGCTTGGCCCAAAGCCACACTTACTCAGAGCCTCAGTACAGGCCAGATGTGGAACTAGAGACTAAGGACTGAGATGAGAGCATATGGGATCAGCGTGGCCACTCATCCAATGAGTGTCCTTGTAAGAGCCCAGGAAAGGCAGGAACAGAGACAGTGGTGGTGAGGAAGTGAGGCAACCACTGTGGCAATGAGTCGAGGGCAGGCTGTAGTCACCAAGCACACAGCAGCACAGGCTAGGGTCTCCATCAGAAGGAACCAACCTAGAGTCACTTTGACTCCAGACCTGTGGCTCCCTACACTGTCGGGGAGCTGGTTTCTGTGGTCCAACACTAGTGAGAGTGTGGCACTATTTCCTAGCAGCCCTAAGAGACTGTCATTAATATGAAACCAATGGGAAGAAGTCTGCCAAGAAACAATGAATTCCCACAGGACACTGATTACGTACAAAGGGCAAGATGACAGGGAAGACAACCTAACAGCCAGCCCTGGGGCCAGGTGACAAGCCTAAGAGAAACTGGGAGAAAACACTGCTTCTGTGGCCTTCACACAACACTGGTCACCTGAAACTAATACTGAGGGAATGTGGCACAAAGCCTAGCTGAGAGGCGCTCTGCACCACCAGACCCATCGTGAGGGCACAGGTCGCAACAGACAAATACCAACCACAGACGCCTCTGAGACAAGGGAGACAAAGGGCAGGCGAGTTAAACCAGTGCGTGGAGAACTCGGATGACAAAAGACAGAAATGGGAAAATCCAAATGAAGCCTGTGCGTCATGTAAATGAGTGCCAAATGGATGTTGGATCTGACATGCCACTAGCATGAAGGGCAACAGCCAGGGTAGGTGGAGAACTCTATCATTTTTGTTGTTTCCTTTAAATTTCTTAGATTTCCATAAATCTAAACTGGTTGTTTAAATGTTTTGAAAAATGTCATTGAACTCCCATATTTGGATTACGGAATCAGGACAGTCACCTGCCATTCTCTTTGAGTAGATGACAGCTAAGTCTCTCTTGGAACTAAATCCTGCACTGTGCTGCTAATTTCAGTCTCCACAGGGAGATGTATAATCTTCCTTTACTCATGAAGAAAGGGTGGCTGGGAGAGGTCAAGGCACCCACCCTCAGGCACAAAGGCAGGGGGCAGCAAAACCAGGCTCAAGGTCTGTCAGTCCCCTGGGCAGGATGCCTGCTCAGCTGCTGCCCACAGGCTGATACAAGCCCCTCAGCCTTCCCATATCCTCTGTGACCTGCCTGGTCCCCACAATAGGGTCTATGCCCCAAACAGAGTTCTCAACACATCCCCCAAAACACTTATTTTTAAGAATAAATTAGCAACAGCCTAAATTGTTCTACGAATGTTAGGACAGTGAAAAATGGTATCTATGAAAGGTACCACGGAGCAGCTGAAATAAGCTGAGATCTATTTAAACCAAAACAAAAAGACATAAAAACAAGGTGGACGATAAGAGCACAAAGCAGAAGGAATCACACCTTGTGAAAATACTGACGCTAACTAGATATACAGGGAGAGATGACGGGCAGGCAGGCAGGAGAGGAGCAGAACTGGGGTGGGGAAGACCATGGCTTGCACGGCACACATGACTGTGACATGAATGTGCAGCTGACAAGTACTGGGATGCAGGCAACCCTGGGCACTGAGGTCAGCACCGTCAGTCACCGTCAGTGACTAGGAACGGAGGCTCTGCGGAGCAAATATACAGTAAAAGAGATGGTGGGGAGGGGTCTGCACTACAGCCAAGACCTGACTTCCTTTCACTGGCACTAAATAAGATAAGGAAGCAAGAGGAAAACCACTTCTGGTGATCTGTGTGAAAATGGCCTACATTTTCACATTTTCTGCCATTCCTATCATACAGAGGTGGGGCCAGGAAGCTGGCTAGTCCGTGTGTTGATCAAGGCAGAGCTGATGTTGGGGTTGTCCAAAGCTGGGGCTCAGCAGGACTCACAGCCATGTTTGTGACTTGTGTGAAGGGGAAGGCGCTGAGTGTAAAGGACAGGGCAGCACGAGGGACACAGCATTACATCATAAGTGACAGAGCCAACAGCACCTGCTGTGTCCCTGCCCAGGCCTAAATGATTACCGAGCAGAAACCTCTTCAATCTTCTCAAATGTCCGGGCCACAGCCAGGTAAGGAACCCTGGGGAGGAAAAGAGATACGAGAGTCACTGGAATCCCCACACCAGTCCTCCTTCACTCTGCTCCTCGCTTCTACTTGGGGACAGGCTTGCCAATACCCAGTGCAGAAAAGCAGCCTTGCTCCCTGCCCTGAGCTCTCTCTATTCTTTCCATGCTCCTGACTATAGACAGATTTGCCATTTCCTCCAGCTGAGGCCCCAGTGAGAGCTGCCCAGAGCACCAGGCCCTAGAGGAGGACCATTAGGGACGGCGGTAGGAGTCTCACTTCTGGCCCTGTCTCCAGCAGGCATCCTCGATGGGGTGGTAGTTGTTCTTAGCGGGATTGTAGCTCACTGGGTCCAGGGATCTGCGAAGGAAAAAGAGATCAGATCTGGTACATCTCTAGGGTGAAGAAGTCATAGCACCAATGAGTGTTTCCTGAGTGCCTGCTATGTGGCAGGCAGTGCTCCACCCGAGGATACTGACCTTGTGCTCAGTCACCTTTGTGACTATCTCCTACTGCATCCCCCTCCTTCTACACTCTTCCAGTCACAGGTTCCTCCATGTTCCTTAACTGTCCACAGGTGTGGCCCAGGGCCGCGGCACCTGCTCTTCTCTCAGCCCAGAACATTCTTCCCCAGGGCTCTTGCCCTCATCTCCTCCAGGTCTTTTACTCCCATAGCTCCTTCCCTGTGAAGCCAGCCCTGACCTCACACTGCTCCTTGCTGCTGTCCCTGGTCCATTCTCTGGGATGGCACTTACTACCATTAGACACATGACATAGTTTGCTTATTATTTATTCCATAGCCGTCAGGAAATAAGCAAGACTTTCGTGTATCTGCTGAATCTCTAAAATCACTTAAAACCACTGTCTATCTGACAAGATCGGTGCTCAATAAACATCTGAATAAATGGATGAATTCATGATTGTTGGAGAAAAAAAATCGGAAGTATTCTGCTCTTTCTTTGTACATTGCTTGGGTAGGAAGAGCTGGCCACAGCTCTGACCTTGAGAGAAGGAACTTGTGGTCTGGTAGGGGAGGCACTTGGCCATCAAACAGAACAGAAAAGAAAGCTTGTCCCCAGTGTTGGAGACACACATTTGTTCTGAGGGAGGGAGAGATGTCGGGCTTTTCCCGGCGAGGGCACCATGAGCAAAGTGGCTAGCGACAGTGTCCTAGTACGGCCAGTACATTCAGAAGCAGGGGTGGGCAGCTCAGGGAGAAAGAGGGAGGCTGGCAATGTCAGGAGGCTCAGACTAACTGAGGTGGGCAAGGCTGGCTAGTGAGAATCCCAGGAGTCAGCATTTACCTGGGTGCTGAGAAATCACAGCTGTTTTGAGGAGGAAAACAATGTGGGGAGTGTCTGACCTCATGCTTTTTACAGGCCATTCATCTATCCAACTGGGCATTCAATAAATCTTCAAAGACACCCCCAGGGTACATACCAGGTAGCATGAAAATGGGCCAGACATCTTTTCAGAGTTGGAACAATTACAATGAAGCACTGAACTCTCTACCAGTCTATTTGGTTTCTTACAATCTGACACCAGTGAACATTAGGAGGTCCAGGCATAAGGGGCAGCTCTATGAGATCACAGGACACCCAGGCAGCACAGAAGAAACAAAGAAACTGCAATGCAGAGCAGACACCTCCGCTTTTCAACCTGGCACATTCCGTGTGACTGGAATAGAAGGCTGAGAAATGAGGCCAGAGAGGTAAGGCGGGGCACTGAGCACAGGCACTTAGATTTTTGTCCTGGGAGTTTTGGGGAGCCCTTTGAAGCTGGGTCAACCCCAAGTCCTCATGGGGTCAGACTGAGGCTGAAAGACTAGAGGCCAGCGGTGAGGGGAGAAGCTGAGCAAAGGGTCAACACACTCCACCCTTAAACTTCAGGCTGATTTTATGTAATCTGTGAGCTAAGAATAGCTTTGCATGGAGGGGTGCATGTGGCCTGCAAAAACTAACGTTTACTATGTGGTCATTTCAGGACCAGAAAAACAGAAGACAGAGAGAAGGAAAATTTATCAAGCCTTATAGGAACAGGAAGCCCAAGCTGGGACTGGGCCATACTGGGGGGCAGGAGACACACCCAGGACACACCTGTCAGACTGGACACTGACTTACCTCTTGGCCTCCTCTTTTCCTGGGGTACCTGACTGCTCTTGTTTCACATCGGTTTTGACTGATGGCTTCCGGGGTGCTGGGAAAGGAGCCAGGAAACAGGTGGAAGACTTTTCTCCTGATAGGTGGTACCTCCCACCCCTTGTCTACCAGCATCACCCCAACCTCAGCATGACTGCTTGGGACAATGAGTGTCAAACAGGAGAGGTGTGTTAGACTTCCACGAAGCATGACAGCCAGAAGGGACCTGTGGTACTCTGGAGAAAGAGCCCACTGTTGGCCTCCTGTCTGTACTATCTTGGGAGACGAGGAGGGAAATGACACTCACTGAAGAAACTGCTGAGGTTCCTGGAGACTCTGGGGGCAGCCTTGCTCTGGTTCTTTTCCTGTGGCTCCTGCTTCTGGGGTACCTTGGGTGTGGAAACACCTTCTGTCTTTGCTGGGGCTTCTGCTTCTAAAGTGAGAGAGGGCAGACGATGAAGCAAACCACCCCCATATCAAAATGTTTTTTGTTTTTTAACCTCCCCATGGATGGAAAATCTGGTCATTCTGCAGTTTCATTTCTGTAGCCTGAATCTGGATCCTCTCTGGCCTGGTGTTTACTCAACAGTGCATGGAATCTAGGATTTGGCCTGAAACTGCACCCTTGCAAATAGTGGTAAAAGAAGTCTCAGCTGATCAGAAGAAAATATCCCCACCTCTGCAGTAAGGAGAACACCAGATACAATACCACATCCTTAAAACTGCCCCTGCAAGTGTTGTCTCTGACCCAAGGTTCTCACAGGGAAACTCAGATTGGACACCCAAGTTAATAAATTACTGCTCAGTTAATGCCATTTAATTGCCACCTGGCATGTCTGGAAGCTATAAATACTTGGCTGGACTGGCTTTCCTCTTTTCCCATAAATGTGGGAGGAAGTAGCAATGATTAAAAACAACAACAACAACAAGAACACCAAGGAGTCTCCTTGTTTTGCATTCAAAAGTTAGTTAAGCATCTACATCTATGCCTTGTACAAATTAAATGCCCTTTAAAGACTCAGACTGCAAAAATCAGAGTGATGGTGCTGGGGGAAGAAGAGGATTGGAAACTCACTGGGGGCTTTGGGGGGCTCAGGGGGTGTCGAGGGCTGATGCCCCTCCTCTTCTTCCTTCACTGTTGCTGCTCCAGTCTCTACGAGGCTTTCTCTTGGAGTCTCTGCTTCTGATGACAGACAGAAAGTCAAAAATTTTGATCTCTAAAGACATTTCTACTCTGTAGACATTCTGCCCCCATTTATTCTTTTTCCAGCAATCCAGTAGAGCAGACCTTCTGTATCTGTAGACTCCACATCTGCAGACACAGCCAACTACTGATGGAAAATACTTTTTTAGAACTGCATCTGTACCAAACATGTCCAAATCTATTTAGTCACTGTTGCATACTTAAGACAGTATAACAATATTTGCAAAGTATTTCCACTCTACTATGTATTATAAATAACCTAGAGGGGACTTAAAGTGCACAGCATGGTAGGCAAGTTACTTGTAAACACTATGGATGTCATTTTACTTAAGGAACCTCATATCCTTGGATTTTACTTTTCTTGTGGAGCCCTAAAACCAATCTTCTGCAGATACCAAAGGACACCTGAAAGGCTGTAAAGTGACAGGAGGTGTCAGAGCTATTCTAGGTCACCCCGGAGCTAGCAAGGACCTCTGGAGGAATCCAATCCCGTTTGCAGGGAAACTGACAAACAAATACAAATGGCCATTTGTTTCTCATCAGCTATTCTTTGAGAATTATTAACATCAAAGTAGAATGTGTAATGGTTTAATAATATGACAGCTTGCTATAGATCAAAAGAAAAAAAATTAACATGACTTAAAAAAAAATCATACCACTAGAGTAACAATAAAAATTACAAACACTAACTTGGGAAATATGTGACTTGCCCTCCCAACTCCAAATGGCTGAGATGGCCCAATGTATAGTCAAATTTATTACTGACTAAAAATTGTCAAAAGGAAGTAAGTTGGGGGTGGGGGAATCAAAACAACCCAAATTCAAATCTGCAGTGAGGAAACTGATCCTAATGACGTTTTATTAAAGAAACAAAAAATATGGCTGTGCGGGAGGCTATGTCTGGTAGAATTTCACACAGGCCCCAAATGATCTGGTTTTTATGGCTTTTTCAAGGTGCAGGGAAGCCTGGGGCAGCTGCATGGCACATTCTTCTACATTTTCAAAGGAAACCCAACAACATCTTGTGGACACTCTATGAATTGCTAGCTAAAGGCATTTTTCAGTATAGGTGGCCCCACATACCATGCTGGGGTTCCAATTTCCTCAACCAAGGAACAAAATACTTGAGGAAAAAAAATTGCCTGTACTGAGCACATACAGACTTTTTTTTCTTGTTATCATTTCCTAAATAGCACAATACAACAGTTATTCACACAGCCTTTCTATTGTATAAAAAGTTCCCTGAAGAGGACTTAAAAGTATATGGTAAGACGTGTGTAAGTTATATACAAATACTGCACCAATTTTAAGGACCTGTACATCCACAGATCTTGGTACCTGAGGAGGATTTGGGTACCTGAGGAGGGATTTCCCCAGACATGGAGCAATCATTATATCACTCCCATTGCAATGTTGCTATATCTCTATACAGCTAGGTCTTCGTTGCTGTGATAAAAATTACATACTATACAAAAGTCAACATGGAATAGGAGACAGGAGGGGCAGTTTCCTGTTAAATTCCACAGTTTGAGACACAGTGCAGTACCTAGGGCACCTGAATGTGCAAGCTGTAATGGTTAAAGACAAATACAAATACAAGTATTGTTTTTCCTTTCAATGTGTGTGTACTATTTAACAATTGTTTAAACACAACTATTTAATAAATGGAACTGCTGGTACCAGCCCAAGAGCATTGTGAAAAAACTACTAAGACAATAAGGGCAGTGTGAACAAAGAAAGCCCAGGGAGCCTCTACTTTATAGTAAAATGCAGAAAGAAAAAGAAACCCTCTGGAGGAAAATATACTCCATAAAACAAATATTAAAACAGAAGATAAAAATGTGAATACAGATGAACTGATACTGAATTAAGATGGCCAAACCAAAGCATACTTCGTAACAAGAGGTCTGTGATTCTGAATGACATGTTTGAGCTCCTAGACTGAGGCATCAAGTCAGAGGGGTCCAAATTTCATTACAAACCCCCTGCCCTTCCAAAGGTTAAGCAACGCATGCATACACACATGCATGCATGCACGCACACACTCCTCCAGGTCTCTCACCTTTTTCCTCCTTCCTCTTCTTGGCTTCTCTGTCTTTGTCCTCATTCTGATCCTCCAAGACGTCCTGAATTACCCGTTTCGGGAGCTGTTTCCGAGCTGGGGAAGCAGAGGGCTCAGTGCCGCTGACCTTTCTGGCATGCCTCTTTCCGCCCGCTAAGTGAGACCCACTAATAGGGTCCCTCAAGAGCACCCACTTCTGAGCCTGCCCATAGCCCCTGACCTAGTAAAGGCACTATCCTTGAGGCCCTACTTCTGCTTCCTGCCTGTGTGACCATGGGCAGGTTACTTAACCTGTTTGTGTCTCTTTGTGCATCTGGACAATGGGAATAATCTCAACAAGTCAACAATGATGGAAGTGCCCAGTATAGTCCCTGCCTCTAACAAGTGCTCTCAATGCCCCACCTCTGGAATCTTACTACTCTGTGCATTTTGGATGGATTTTCCAGAACTTCAGAGGCCTGGAAGTAGCAGGAAATCCAGGGATCATGGGAGCAACGGCACTGACCAAAGACAGCTGGTATATAAAACCCAAATTCCCTTAAGGTTAACCGTGGAGCACACACCCACAGCGTTCCCTGCCTCCCCACAGAACTGCGCTGTAACTGCCCACTGTGGCAGGCAGCTAATGACACATTCTGTGGTGGCTGCCAGCCAATTACTTGTTTCCTGGTCCCCTATCTTCCATCCAGGAAACAATTTGCATTTGAATCTTGTTTCCTTCTGGAAGATTCCGAACAGATAGAACTCATTAAAAGCAAGGCACTTCCATTGCTCTCTCCCCAACCTGGGCCATCTGTCACCCCCTCCTTAGTCATCTGACTCAGGCTCCTTCATACAGCCCCTTCAGAGCAGTGCTGTGGTTCAGGGTGATGTCTCCCAAAACTCACATGCTAAGGGCTTGGCCCCCAGTGCAGCAGTGTGCAGAACTGATGGGCTTTTGGGAAGTGACTAAAGCATTACAGCTCCTATGACATCAAGTAGATTAATCCAATTATGAGTTCCTAGCACCATGAATTTACTAGGAAGTGGTGCCTAACTGGGGGAAGCAGGCCCCTGAGAGCATGGCTTTGAATACTTTGCAGTTGAGGGTTTGGCTCACTTTCTCATGCTCTCTTCCCCTTTACTCTCCCCGTCTCTCCACGCTGCTGTGATGCTCTTTCTGCTCCTATCTGCGACACTCTCCATCTGCCAACACAGACAGTGCTGTCCCACTTCTAAGACTCAGCACAGCCACCATCTCTGGGCTGCCTCACTCCTAAAATCCTAGAGTGAACCCCATTACCAGCTCTGCCCAATGGAAATATCTGATGAACCATATGGGATCTTAAAATTTACAGCAGCCACATTAATAAAGAAAAAAAAGGGAACTTAGTTTTGACTGTATATTTTACTAAACTCAATATACTCAAAATGTGATCCCAAAATGTGATCAACATGAAATTACTAACATTCTGTTTTTCATGCTGTCTTCAAACTGTTATGTCCTGACTGTGTATCTCAACTCAGACACAAAGTACTCATTAGCAGTACTTTATCTGGATGCGGATTTCATAAAATTTACACTTAAAAAAGTAATCCACACTTTCAGATTGTTCTAAAAACACTCCACTTGCCAGTGGAGACTCATGGCTCTAGTTTCTCCACTAACTAAATCTAGTACAGGTTTACTGTATCTTATCCAAAATACTTGGAACCCGAAGCATTTCAGATTTAAGTTTTTAAATTTTGGAATTATCTGCACAGACTTTACCACTTGGATTGATGTAAAGCTTATGTTTTGATTTGGGAAACATTTTAGATTTTTGGATTAGAGATAACTTAGAGTGGCTTTGAACCCAAAGCTCTGAGGTCTGTCATATGACCAAGGCTGGTGGGTGCTGGCTGAGCTCTTAACCACAGAGCGAAGATCAGGGCCACAGTGAAGACAGCCACCTCATGCTCAGATGCCAGTGGAGAGAAAGATGGCAGCTGAAAGGGTCAAGTGTCCTTACCCGTAATTCGCTTTGGTATTCCTGAAGAGGAGATGTCCATAGGGGAGGTGTCCGAGAAGGAAGGGCTGTTCTTGGGACATTTGGCGAGGTTAGGTGGGGACCCTTGTGGGGAATCTGGCTCAGGCTTCTAGAAGGGGAGAGTGTTCTAGAGTGAGCAAAGGTGAGACCATCCAGAAATCTCAGTCCCCAAACACTGAGCAGGAACTCCAAGCCTGTCTCTGTGCATACTCTTCTTGCTGGCCCAAAGGTCCAGTCCCAGTCTAGGCCATCCCCTCTCACCTGGAGGCCAGCACTCCATCTAGGCATCTAGATGTGGTTTCATGGCCCCACTTTCTCCTCAGTAATAATTCTGCTTCCTGAGGTAACAGAATACTCATACAAATACTTGCACGCTGGTCCACCTAACCACTACCTTTCCCAGCTATGTTCCCCTGCCTCAGCTAGTGTGGTTACGGATCTCAGTTCAAAGCAAGATAAAGGGAAATGATGCAGACTTCTTTTCACTCTAAAAGTCACTTAGAGTGGAGCGCCCTCCTTTCCCTGACAGCCCAGTCAATCTTTACTCTCACAAGAGCAGGTACGGACAGCAGTAACAACATAGAAGGGCCTCAGTCTCTGACTATGTGAGATTGCCTTATCAATCCTAGAATGTGTATGCTCATTAGAGAAAAAAATAAACTTCTACCTTGCCAGTCTACTGTTTTAACTTCAACTACTCACTGCCTTATAGGGCCCTGTCCTGGTTATTAAGCTTCAAGCTCACAACTCTCCACTCTCCCTTGGGATGCCTGGGCTAGGACTCACGAGCCCATTTCAAACACTGAATGTCAGTTTTGTGTCAGGCAGTGCCAACATGGGGGACTGCAGGGAACTATAAAAGTGGAGGTGCAGGCATTTCCTGGGTCAGCTGCTGGGTTCAAATGACAGTTTTTCTAACACTTGCAGGGCCCATCACACAGGACCTCATTAGAGACACCTCCTACCCAGCGCCCCTTCCACAACGATCTGAGTCTTGGGCCTTTCCCAAACTCAGAGAGCCCAGCCTCACCACTGCCAGCACCGGTCAGGGCGATCTGGGTTCCAGCTCCTCGGCCAATGCCGTAGGAGTGCTTTTTACCTTTTAGCCACCAAGTTAACAACTGTAAACCCAGGCGATAATCTTTTATATTAAATTTTGTTTAAGTTAGTCTATCATCTGAACCCTGACAGACATAGATCTCAAAGGAGTATTTTGAATGCTGCCTAGGACCAAAGCAATTTTTTCTTCTACTCAGAACCCCCTCAGAGCAAAGTCCAAACTCCTAAAGCTGCCCACAGCCTAATCCTCAGAAGCAGTGAATATGTCACATTTCATGACCAAGCCAGTAAGTTCACCATCATCTGATGTGAAGATAAGATGACTATCCAGGTGGGCCCAATGCAATCACTGAGTCCTCAAAAAGGACAAAGACAGTCTCAGGAAGAAAAGGCACAGAGAAAACCATGACACTGGCTGGGCAAATGGAAAAAGGAGGCTGGGAAGGGTAAAGGAAATGGATTTTCCACCATAGATTCCAGAAATGAACAGTGCTACCTAGAGTTCTAACTTCCCACTCTGTAAAATAATGAAAAACTAACGGAAGCAGTCAGGGGAGTTTCACTGAAGTGACAGCTGAGCAAAAACCCGAACAGAAGGACAGAGCAATGCACATCTGGAAAAGCAAGGCAAGAAAATAGTAAGTGGTGAGAGTGGAGGCCTATCTGGTATGCATGAATGCAATGTTGGAGGGGAGAGAGCCAGAAAAGATCTGTAAATGAGAGGGAAGATGGGGCAGGCAGAGTGAAGAGGATCATGAGGGCCTGTAGCTGTCTGAAAGGTTGCACTGGGGCCTGAGCTGTCAATGCCAAAGGGTCTGAGCCAGGGAGTAACAGAACCTGACATCACACAGATAATCCCATCAAGGCATCAAGTGACTTTTTTTGTGTCTTTTTGAGACAGGGTCTCACTATGCAGTTCAGGTTAGCATTGAGCTCAACTGTGGCCCAGGATGGTCACAAACTTACAACAATCTTCCTGCCTCAGCCTCCAGAATGCTGCAATTACAGGTGTGTGCCACCATGCCTAGCTGCAATGACTTAAAAAGAAATGAACTGGAATGACAGGAAAGGCCCTGCAATCACAGGAAAGACTGGATGTATGTGAGCCCTCACTTGGTACGAGGCAATATTCTCAGATCTGCCGTGAACGGACCCACTTGGTCTTCCCAACCAACTTGAGAAGTAGGGGTCACTAGGAGGGCATGTTACAGGTGAGGCACAAAGAGGTCCAGGGACAGCCCTTGCCCATCTTATGTCAGAGGCAGTTAGGACCTTGTGAACCACACCATCTGCTCAAGGGCATGGCCACTGTATTTGCCCACCTCCTGAGAAACGTCTAGAACCCTGTTGAGCCGGAAGCACCCAGTCTCACAGGGAATTGGTGCAAGGGCTATTTTTGGGAAAGTGAGGGGCCGATGGCTTCCTACCTGGTCTTCACTGGGGCTGAGGGCTTCATCTTCTTCCTCTCCCTCGCTGCTCAAGACCTGCGCTGCCTTCCTCCCTGACCTCTTCACTGGAGAGTCATTATCAGGCACCACTCCATTCCGCTCCTTCAGTGCCACCCTGCAAGGCAGGGAAACGCGGGTATACGACAGGCAACATGGGAGCACTGTGCCTGGACACTCTAGCTCCTGTACTACATTTTAGTCCTTTCTTTTCAAGGACACAATGAACATTTTTCAGGTGCCTCACTGGCATATGCTCCTTATCCTTTGGTTTTGATTTTATTTTTTTTTTTTTGCAGCACTGACCATGTTTCAAGGCTTTTTAATTTTTTATTTGGAGACAGAGTCTCATAAAATTACTAAATTGCTCAGGTTGGACTTGAACTTGCAATCCTCCTGCCTCAGCCTTCCAGCTGGAATTACATGCATTTATCACCTTACTCAGATGGACACTCATCATCCATCCATCCCTCCAACCCTCATCTCTGGAGGCCTCCTCAGTGCCCACCTTGTGGCAGGTGATGCAGAAGAGAAAGAAAACCTACCCAGGGCAGGGACTGGCTTCCAACATCCACAGACCTTTCTTTCAGTTATAGTGGTTTCAGCTGGGCACATGGCACCAGCCAAGGACCACTCTCCTAGCCTCTCCTGCAGTAGGAGTGGCCACATACCAAGTTCTGGCCCATAGGATGTGTCATGGTTTATGTTGGTGACCCCCAGGCCTCATGCATTTACATTATGCATCCGTGACTGGTTCATTGTATAGTGCTCAGATTGATGGTGTCAGTGCTACACCCACATAGGGGTGAAGCCAGGATGTGATGTAATGGCAAGAAGAAGGTGTGTCTCTCTCTTGCCAGTTTCTGGCTTGCTATTTCCAGCCACCAGGAACTGCAGCCCCGCCATGCCACCCTGCCTTGGAGCCAACTGAGTATAGACTGAAACCTTCAAAAACTTTAAGAAATAAACCTTTCCTTTCCCAACTCTGGACATCAGGTATTTTGTCTCAGCGATTGTTGGGAGCAGGAGCCAGGGGTCCGGCAGTAAACGGGTGTGGAAAACCACACACTAAAGCTGGACCTCAACCAGTTCCTCATCCTGCAGTAACCTCAGCCTTCTAGATAAAGCATCGCGCTGATATTAACCTGGGAATAGCTTCATAATATAAACAATAGAAGTTTCTCATGGGCCCAAGAACATGTTTATCTCCTGGGCTGCACAACATAAAAGTTTCTCACGGGCCCAGGAACATGTTTACCTTTGTTGTGTGCACAAGAAAGTGTCCTAAAGTGACTTGTACTGCTCTTTGTTTTAAAACATTATAAAAACTCTGTAGTCCTTCAATAAATCGCCTTTTGCCTCCTGAGCAACTGGTCTCCCTGTGTCTTCAGTCTCTTGCCTGACTCCTTTCCCACGCTGGCCGCGGCACCTGGCACCTGGCAAGCGATGAGTAAAAAGTAACCAAGACAGGATGGAAGCTAGAGGCCTGACATGCTTGTAACCAGCTCCAACTGCTGCCCTCCATTCTACATAGATCCTGGAGCCAACCGACTCACCTGCTAGGACTATGCAGATGAGGGCAGCAATGAAAACTCTGCCAGGACAATCTAGTGGTACAGAGCAACCTCCCCATCCTAACCTGCGTTCACACCTCAGCACCTTCCCTGAGAAAAAGGCACCTGTACTTTAAGTAAGTCACTGTGATTTGATAACTGGTAAAGCAGTCCAACTCCTCCCGATTTTGGCTCCTAGCCCCCATTCTGTGAAGGACACAGATGCAGCCTGTCACAATACTGGGTGACAGGCACAGAGAGAGCTGCTGAAACCCATAGGCTATTGTACTCACAGAGCTTGCAATTTGAACATGGGAGACCTACACAGACACCAGTGACGTTCTACTACCAGTGATAGGCACTCACCGTGTAGGACATTACCACCAAGGATGAAGTGGGTTTTTATACAGCACCATGGAAAGGGCTGTATAACTGTTCTGATGGAAAATAAAAGGAGTTGTCAATCTAGGTGAGGAATAGCTGTCCATTTTGGTCACTGCTAAGCTCCAGGGGCTTAGAATAATGCCTGGCACATAGAAGATACTTGACATTTTCTGAGTATGTGCATGACTCCAAAAAGTTCATTAAAAAAATGAATGCCTCCCAACATAGACACTGGTACCTCAGTTCACGAACTTAATTCTTTCCACAATTCTGGTCATGAACTGAATTAAATTTCCCCACGAGGAACAATGTTACTGCCTGCGGGGTTCTCGAACACAAGCAAAATTTTGCTGAACTAAATTGTTTGAGAAAAGAAGTGTTCATAAACTGAGACACTGTACATAAGCAACTTGCATATGTAGTAGTCTGTTACTGAATATCTACTACACATCAGGCACCATCCCTGCTGCATTAGACATAACCATGACTAAACGAACAGTGTTTAGTCTCCAGTATGGGAAACATCTATCCACACTATTTATGCGCCAACACTGATAGGTGTAGACCTCAAACTCATGATGCTGGTTCTTCTGGGGGTGAATACTGGAAAGAATGCAAAATTTTAAGTTACCTACTTCACTGAGTGGGCAATTTTTACACTTATCACATGTAACTTCACATATGAGTATTTATGTTAGACAGACAAAATGACTGTCCACATGCCAACGACATGTACAGACTAAACCAGGGCACTAACTATTACACCCACAAACTGGAAGCAACCTTAATATCCATGCATCAGGAATGCTAAATAATTCTGTGGCATACCTGTAAAATAGAAAAAAGGCACCAGGCAAAACAAGATAGCCCCTGAGCTCATGAATAATGAGAAAAATCTCAAAGTCATAATCTTAACATTAGAAACAAGGTGATGAACAGTATACAGAAAACACCTAATTATTAGATGCATGTGGTATATAAATAAACCTACATGTGTATGTACATGCAGCAGTATATACACCAAAGGGATGAATCTGAGAATCCAGTGTGTTAATTCTAGCCATGTATTGGGTGCCTTTGATGAACCAAGTGTTGCTCTCTCTATACACTGCCCATTACTGCTCACTGAATTCAAATAGAAAGTCCAAAGGAGATGAGATACCTTTGTACAGGACAGCATACATGAAGGATGTGAACTAAACCTGCTAGTCCATATTCTCTCTGGTAAGGGAACTGGACCAGGGGGCAAGTGACCCAGGTAAGCTGTTATGGTCAAGAGATGACCAGTGGCTAACTTCTCTGCCTCATGGAGAAACTGGTCTAGAACAAAGCCAAAATGAATAGAATCAGCCCAGGAGACAAGCCTAAGGCCCTGGATTCAGGACTTGAAGTTAAGAGCTGCTCTTTGATGTCTAGTCCCTAGACATCAAAAAAATTCTAAAAATTTTAAAAAATTCTTTTTCGGAGACTGAGATGATTTGAAGTGGGTCTGCAAAACTTGCAACCAGAAGAATTCTAACTGTGGAAGGAACATCCCATATTCTGGTGCTCTTACATACTTTGGAGGGGGCTCTGTCTCTCTGCCGCTGCTCTTGTTGGTATCCTTCTCAGGCTTCTTTGCTTTACCCTCTTTGGTGGGGTAGAAAAATGACCTGGAGGAGCATAAAACGAGACAAAGGGAAATGACAATAGCACCAACATTCCTCTGATCCAGTGGTGGTGAACCTATGGCATGCAAGCCATGGCAGGAACATAGAGCTCTATCTGTCTCAAAAAAAGAAGCAGCAGCAAGAAGAAAGAATAAGAAGAGGGAGAGGAAGGGGGGAGAAAGAGGAGGAAGAAGAGGAGAAGGGAAGAGGAGGGAGGAGAAGGGAAGAGAAGGGGGGAGGAAAGAGGAGGGAGGAAGAGGGAAGAAGGAGAAAAAGAAGTAGTAGAAGAGAGCAAAAGAAGAGACACAGAAAGGGAAAAAGCATGCAGAGTAAGAGAACAGAAAGCAACTAAAGATGCTGTTGGCCAGGACAGACTGCGCTTACATTTCTCAGAAAGAAGCCACCCAGGATGTGTTTAAGCTGCTGCTACCCAGGCTCCTGTCGCAGCACGTCTAGGTCTGGCTCTGTCTGAAATCTGCTCCCTTCTTCTGTAACGGCCCCTCCATTTTCCTCTTGAGACACCTCTTCCCTCATAACTCTTGGTATGCAGGATATGACTGGTGTGTCCTTTTACTTTTACATGAGCAGACACGGACACATGACCCAGACCTGACCAATCTGCACATCGCATACCTGTGCCCACAGTGGCTGCCTCAGAGACGTGCATGAGGCTCAAGCTGAAGCATGACTCTAAATATTGTTGGGACTGCTAGAAGGTAACCCTCTGTCTTCCAGCATTGCTAATCTGCAGAGAGCCTAAACATCAAAGGTAGCAGAGCTGAACAACAGAGACAGAGAAAGCTCCAGTCACAAAATTTTGATGAGTGAAATCAACTAGACTGAGGTCATTTACTCCAGCTTCCAACTGTGGAAACTAAAGAATTCCCTTTATTTTTTCTCTAATGGATTAGTGTGGGGTTTCTTAACTGAGGCATCACTACCATTGCAGTTAGAGGCTGTCTTTGTTGGGAGACTGTCCTGGGCCCTGAAGGATGTCTGGCACATGCCTGACTTTTCTCTATCAGATGGTGAGGGCAATGGAAAATCCTATACCCCTAACTGTGGTGATCAACAATGTCTCCAGATATCCCAGAGCAGGGGACTAAAGCACATCTGGCTGGAAACCACCAGACTAGAGTTTGTATCCTCTGCAAACAAAAATGTTTTGGTTAATGTGCTATCTGTCCCTCACATTCCACTTTCCATCCCATTCAATTTCTGGAAATACCAATTTGAAGTCTAACTTAACTTATTCTAGCAAAGGCACAGATCTGAGGCAAAAGGGAAGGGGCTTGGTGAACACAGGGTGAGCAGGGTTCTTACATGATACTCCGCTGCATGATGGCACTAAAATTCTCCTTTCCAGGATTTTTGGGGTTTTTTTTGTCAGCTGTCCCTGAAACAGAAATCCAAAGAGTTTTCCAGGATACTATTTATGCAGAGGCCAATACACACCCACATCCACACCCACACCTGCATCTTTTTTCAAGGAAAACAATCCTACAGAACAAAACTGCAATTTCCTCTTCAAGGAGTCTGTTTTTATGAATCAAATGGATTTGCCAGTAAGATTTATTAGTGAAGAATAAAATTTCCAAATTAAAGATAAAGGGGAGGAATCTCTATGGGGCCTGTTTCTTTCATCTAATATGACTAATTCAGAGGTCTTCAGTTTATTTTCAGGGGTCTTTCCCCATCTTGGAGTTAAGCCTTAAGGTTTTGTTTCAGGTGACTACTACACAAAGTCTTCAAATGGCCAGGAAATGTTTATAAAATTAGATCCACTGGTCTAAAAAAAATCAACTGTTGAGCAACTTCAAAGGTCCATTAATTGAAACAAAGAACAGAACATCATGGCAGCATAATTCTATGTTATATAACCAATGAAAACCAGTGTATCTGCTTGTGTATTCACAGAATACCAAGCTGGGGAAATAAAAGAGTCACATTTTCATTCTGGGAGAAGTCACTGGGGGACACTTTTACCTATCCTTCCATACACAGAGCCACTTGAAGACATCAAGCATGCAAAATAGGATTTTAAAAATTAAATATTTTATAAGATAAATCAAATCAATAGATCACTAGTTACTAAAAATAATCCTAAAGAAGGTTACCTCTGGTCTACAGAACATTTTCATCACCTCCTCCCAAGAATCCAAGAACAGAATCAAGGAAGTCTATGAAATTTGATGGGAAAGTAATTATAACTACTCTTGTTAATTTCTAAGTAGAACAAAGTCTTATCTTCTACTATAAATAGGGCTAATAGGCAAAGAAGTGGCCACAGAACCTCTGGGTAGACTCTAATGTCTTCGTTGGCCCACGGGGACTCTTTTAGAATCTGAACAATGTTTTTGTCCACTTAGCGATATTCATCTCCACACCTGCGCTTGTCTTTTACAGCCTTGGCCAGCACTGGTGCCAGGAACCCAGACAAATCTTGGAGAAAAAAATGCATTAATTTCTAAACAAGGCCCATTAGTGCCGTTCAGAGAGCAGGCAGCGGTCAAGCATCTACCAGAACATTTCTCAAAGAAGGGTTAGGGACTTAGCTGCCAAAAGGCTGAGGGACAGGCACAGGAAGTGATATCCACTATCCTGCTCACTGGTACTTAACACACTCAGTTATTCAACCTCCACAACAATTCTATTACATACAGACAAGGAAACCAAGGCAGAGAGGTCAAAAGGACTTGATCCAGTAACTTCCACCCAACACCTGCCTTCTTCACAGCACTTCAGGAGGCTGAATTGCAAAGAAAGAACTGGCCATTTATCAGGGAGTTAACTTAATCCTGGACAGGTCACTCATATTTTCAAACCTTGCCGATCTATCCTCTAGTTCGCTAGCCCTTCAAGGGAAAGTTGATCACTTTCTACCTGAAGGGACTGAGGATAGAGAGGGAAGAATCAGAACACGGCCTTGAACCCAGGCATGGCTGGCTCAGAGCCCATGTTCCTTTCTTTTTGTCAGCTGATGGGTAAAAGCTGGCCTCTTAAGATTGCTGGGCAACTGAGCAGAGATCAATAACCTACACTTATCCAGGGACTCCTGTCATCCCCATCAGAATGGGAACCCCAGCTTCAGGGAATTTTGTGAGCAGAGACATTCACACAAGGGTGAAGGAGGTAAAAGAAAGTTCCAGGCTGCAGGAAAAGAGTGGGATGCCCCTCTCTTGGGACCTAGTGTCTTCATTACTGCCCCAACCATATGTTACAATAGTAGGCAGAGCTAAAATTGAACCAATGATGACGAAGGGCAGTTTCTTCCTGAGGTGATAAAAATCTAACACTCAAAGTAGTAATGACTGCCCCACTCTCAATCTAATAAACCAACGAACTGAACAGTTTAAACGGACAAATTACATGGAGTATGAATAATGACTCAATAAAGTTATTACCCAAATAGATGAACCAATGGATGATGATGGGTCACATATTAAATGAAGACAGAACACTACTCAACAATAAAAACAGTGCTATTGATATCTGCAATCTAGGTTTCAGGACATTATGTTGAATTTCATTATGGTAAATTTAAAAAGCCTGTCTCAAAGATTACTACTGCATAATTCTGTTTACATAACATTTCCTAAATCATAAAACGAGATGGAGAACAAAGAGAACACATCAATAGTTGCCAGGGGCTGAGGGAGGGGCTACAATAAAAGGGAAGCACTGGGAATTCCTTTGTAGAGAAGTAACTGCTCTATATGCCTATACAAGGAATCACACTGAGCAGATACACACACACACACACACACACACACACACACACACCCCGAACACCTGAGCAAGCATAAAAACTGGTGAAAACTGGACAAGGTTTTGAGTCCAGTTAAAAATATTGGCTTTGAAAATGAATTACAGTTGTATAAGCTACATCATGGGGGAAAACTGAACGCACTAGTTTCACAAACTTCAGTCTATAATTACTCCAAAATAAAAGGTAAACAAAAGGAATGAAGGAAGCTGGGCATGATAGCATACCCCTGTAATCCCAGCACTTTTAAGAGGCTGAGGTAGAAGGATCCCCAGTTCAAGCCAGCCTGGGCTACAAAGTGAGTTCAAGGACAGCCTGAACTATGTAGTAAAACTGTCTCAAAGACAAAAAAAAGGAGTGCTCCAGGTATATTAGTACACAGAAAGAAATCTTAGATATAGCAAGTAAAACCTTAAGTAAAAGTAAACAATAAAGTAGGCAGAATAGTGTATAATATGATACTGATTTTGTAATATGGGAGAAACAAGCATTTGGCTATTATTTGTAAACAGAAACTCTGGAAGGATAATCCATTAACTCAGATGGGAAGAGATGTGTGCACTAGACTTTCTGTTAGGTTAGAAGTATATCCTGATTTTATTTGTCCACCATGTAAGTAAATGCTGTTCAATTTTTTAAAAATTAGTACATTTAAGCTCTAACTTTTCTGTAACTCCCCCTACCCACACACCCCCAGTCTCTCCCCTCTGCCGATCTGCTTTCCTTGCTTGGCCAGCTGTGGGCCTCCACCTGCCCTCTCCCACCCAGTGCTAGGCACCACTCTCCCTACATATCTCATGTCGATTCCATGTTCTTGCGAGCATGTTCAGAATTTATCTTTCTAATCCTATGTGGTGCCCTGGGTAGATGGGGTTGTGCCCAATTCATCCCATCTCCTCCAAAAATTACTTCCCCAAAATGAGACATTTCTTACACCACTTTTGCGTTTTCTATCATTACAGAAATTGGGTGTGATCTGAAGTTTCATTTAATTTTTTTTTTCCGTAAGATTCAACATTTTACTAACTGAGGTATTGACTAGGTACTATTACTCCAAGTGCCTTAAATCCTATCATAAGCCATCATAGCTGTTTTATAAGTAAGATGTGGGCACAGACAGGTTGAGCAATTTATCCTAAGTCACACAGCCTCATGGATCACAGAGCTAGGATTCAAAGCCAATTGTTCAGCTCCAGAGCCCATGTTTCCAAACATCCTGGGGGAGAGGAAAGCAGAGGCTTGGGATAGAAGTGGTTCCTAGATTTTAGGGTTACCGAGATTAACATTGACCAAGAAGAAGATGTTATATTACCCAACCTCCCAATACTTAATGAGGTGATCTAAATTTTTATCCTACTTTGGCGACAAGGAACTGGATCTCAAGTCACAGAGCTCCTAATGGTAGAAGGGGATTCAATCCAGGTAATCTATTTCCACATTCCCAAGATTTATACTGAACAAGGAAATTTCTGTCATTCTTCTGTAAAGCCCATTATTTGTCATAAATCAAATACAACAATAAAAACTAAACACAAAGAAAAAAACCTGATCACCTGATCGCTAAGTTCTAGTCAGTGTCAGCTGCTGAAGGTCAGAAGCACCACCCTACATTTGTTCCAGGTGGTAAGGAAACTAGAGGGGTGTGGAAGATAAAAGGGCTCAGGACTCTAGTGTGAAATACTATTTCTATGCAACGTTGCCCCCATTTGTATCTTGGTTCAAGTACACCACTCTCCAGCTACTGTCCCCCTCTTTCCTTCCCCAAGAACTCAACTTCAAAAGTTCCTAATCCTTCCTGGCCCTGTGAGCCTGTGGCTAATGCCATCTTCTCACGCTGGCCTTGCTCCATCCCTGTGCTCCCTTGCCCGCTTCCCTTGCTTTGTCACTTACCTGGCAAAACGCCAATGCTGACTGAGCTCACTGTCCATCTATGCCATGCCTGCACTTGCAGAGCTACCAACTGTGCCAAGAACTGCAACAGAACACTACTTTTCTCTGATCCCTTTAGCAACCTTACTTGCTCAGAGTGGATTTGCTTCTCTGGCTGCCAAACCCTCGTCCGTCTTCATTCTCAGCCTAGAAAATGGAAGCAGGGAGGAGAAAAACTGCAAACTTCCACCTCTATATCTACATGCACAACTACAGGATGCCCAAGTGCTCTCACTTCCTGTGCAGTTGCTTTGGACATGTTAACAGCAGCTCTGTTCAAGACCACCAGATGCTGGAAACAACCGGAGCATCCTTCGGGGGTACCAGGTGAACAATGCTTACATCACACGAGGCTTTCCTTGGCTTGCAGAGCAGTGTTCTGGTGTGGGATGTATATAAATTTGTATTGCTTCAGGGACAGTGACAGCCAGGGAGAAGAGTAGGCCACAAAATGGGCAGCAGAGGACAATTTTTAGGGGTAATAGAACAGAATCTTGATTGAGGTGGTTATGTGAGTCTGGTCTTAACTCAAACTCAAAGCAAAAAAAAAAAAAAAAAATTTTTTTTTACACCAAACAGAAATCACTTTACTCACTGCAGTATTTTAAAAGGTACTGGGTGGGTGGAGGAATGCAAAACATGGGAGTTTCTGCTTACTCAATGTTTTCTCTTACACAGCTAACTCATGCCAAGTCCCACAGGCTGCACCTTCTTATTTGGAATAAATCCCCAAGTCCTCTAGGGGACAGATAAACAATTCCTCACCAACTCACCAACTGCTTTTCTTTAATTCCTCTACAGCAACCAAGTTAAGTATCCGATCTTCCCTGCAGCCGATACCCCAGGAAAAGCAGTTGGTGAATATCAGTGTCTGGACACCTCCTAATATCAGGAAGCTCTCTGCTCACAAGGCACCTCTGCCACCTCCCCACTGAGGCCTTCCCTGACCACCCGAGCCAAGAACACAGCCCCTCTCCTCATCCACACTATCCCCTCACTCTCTTCTCTATACAATATTTATTACGACCTGATGTAAGAATTGTCCTCACCCTCTGGAAATAATGTCATCTAAGGTAACTTTCTGCAGTGATAAAGATGTTCTATGAGCTGTCCAACATGGTAACTCCTGCCATACGTGACGTCTGTACATTTAAACTGCAGCCAGTGAGACTGAGGAGCTGGGTTTCCTATTTGAGTCTCATTAATCTAGATTTAAACAGCAAAGTGGCAAGTAATTACTGGAGCAGATAAATGGCTAAAATATGAGTTTCATGATTTTGTCGATCTTGCCCAGTGATATATCCCCGGGACCTAATACTGTGCCTGGACCTGATAGTATACGTTTATTATTCTCTCAAAAACTCAAGTAGCAAAAACATGTATGCTTAAAAATTCAGGGACGATAATCAAGACTTTCCATTCATGGAGTCCACTGTGAGGAAGAAAGATATAAAAGGATATCCGGTAAACTGTGGATGGATGATAGGCTAGAAAGCTCAAGTTTGCATGTATTCTACATAATCAAGGCTCACATCTGTAGTCCTGTTAGCTCTTCCTAGTCACAGCCTCTTCTTGTCTAAAATTTTTATACCTTTCCCTTTAACATGCTCATTTTCTTAGATTTAAAACAGCATCTCTCAAGACAATGCAGACACAGACTGGAGAGAGACTTTGCCTTGCCCAAGGCTAAGCTGCCAATAATCAGGACACCTGAAAGTAAGTCTGAGGCCTCACCTGTTCCTAGACCTTTGTCCCTTCCTTGCAGTCTAGCGCTCCCTTTCCTAGCCCCTGCCAATCATCAGATATACAAAGGACCAGACTTTTCACTACCCATAAGATTCTTTTTACGAAGCTTTTGCTTGCACCTCACCACTGACCACCCACTGGCCCCACCACTGGCCTGCTGATTTCTCCCCCCTCCATCTATATTAATGCCAATCCCTAAATAAACCCTGCCACCGCCCAGGCCTCGCAAGGGTCCCGCCTCAAACTCCTCCCACTCCCAAATGGTCATGCCCATCACTAGAAACATTCCTAGGCCCCGCCCCCAGCCTGCTCTACCCCGCCCCCTTCCAGGTAGCCCTGTTCCCTAGGCCTCTCCTCAAGCCCTAGCGAGCCTAGCTGGCTGTGGCCCTCATCGACCCTCCACTTGACTCCTCTTCCTTCGAGCGGCCAGCACCTCGCTGCCCGCCTACCACCCCTTCCGCCGCTTTTGTGGCCCCCTCATCGTCCTACCACCCGCTCCTCTGCCGCCACACATACCTGCCGAAGCCACGGGCCCAGAGCCCGCAGCACGGCAGCCGCCCCACCCCCAGCGCCACGCCAGAGGCCCCACTTGCCTGGTGCGCGGCTGCCCCAAACACCGCACTCGCCTGGCGCGACGAACCCGGCAGTCCCAGTTTGGCGCCACGGATTTCGCGCGCAGACTTTGGCGGGCAGAGGTGGGGACGGGCAAGGGACGGGCAAGGGGCGGGTCCCGGGGTGTCTGCGCAGCGTCTTCGCGCGGAGAGTTGCTGGGAGTTGTAGTCTGCTGACACAAAGGAGCACGGAAAAAATGGTGTAGTGCGTGATCCCTTCCACGTAGCATGCTGGGAAGCGACCCTGAGCCTGCCCTCGCCCTGGATAAACTGGTGTGGCCGAGGGTCCCAGGAGGGGGCTGGCGGGAAAAGAGGACGTTCTGTTGGAATTCTCCACGCGAGGTACGGCGGGAGGAGAGGCGGGAGGTCGCGCGTAGCATCCCGGGAGCAAGGACCAGGCCCGGCTTCGGCGCGGGGCATTGTGGGAGATGGACGCCGCTCCGGGTTGGGTAGGTGAGGGGGAGGCAGGAAGGGTGCACATCTGGGGTAGAATCGAAGCACAGCTGGGTGGGACCGCAGGTCTGAGAGAGACCGCGGCGAGCTGGACTGGGAGGGCTCAGGGAGGCTGGAGCCAGCTGGCAGGGGCTCCGAGGGAGGGGAAGGAGCAGCTGTACGTGGGGGTGAATCTGAGGTGAAGAAACCCATCTGAGGACAAGGGGCCATGTCTGGAGGGAAGCCTCACGCTGGGGAGAATGGTGAGGAGGAGGCCACAGCTTGAAAGGGGGGAGGGATGGGTCTTAGGAGGAAGTGGACCACAGGTGAATATCTGTGACAATTCTGAGTCGAATTGGCCACAGTGGGCCACACACTGGCAGGCAAAAGTTCCAGATATCTGGAGGTGGGGAGCGCATATAGAGATGAGAGCATCTCTGGGAGACCTGAGCCATAGCTGAACGTGGTGACCCATGGGGGCCATATCTACTGGAGGGACAGCAGTTGCATATCAAAGACATCTGGGGAGAAAGGAGCCACAGATGCATGCCTGGGCGTGAGGGATCTGTGCCTGGACTTCAGGAGGACACGCGGAGATGAAATATCTTTAGAGAGGGGGACAGAAGGCTATGAGTTACAGCAAAATGTACAAAGTAGAAATCTCTAAGGAATGGAGGGTAGTAGTTATTACCAAGGATCGCGGACACCTCTGGAGAGTGAGATCTTAGTTGGATGCTAGGAACACATATAATGAGTTCTCCACAGCTGAGTTTAATAAACCCACCCCGTACCTAGGAGTAGTCACAGAGTTGGGGTTAGACTCCAGCTGAACCAGGGGAAAACACAGTGCTTAGGAGTCAGAAAAGATGAGATAGAGATTTACATCTGGACAAAAAGTTTGCACCAAGCCCATGGACCCTCATAGACACATAGACCTGCACTGCAGGGGCAGGCTGAGAATGGAGAGAACAAGCTAGGCTGTGGGGATGGGTTAGATATCCAGCTGTTCTCCCCCAGTCCCCTCAGGGCCCCAGGATGGAGCAGCCAGAACCCTTGCCCTGCACAGTGGTGGGGAAGGAGGAAGAGGAGCTGCTGAAACGAGCCTTCTTCTCCTGGGCTGAGTTCAGCCGCTTCTTCGACAAATGGTGCCAGCAGCGGTTGGTGATGTTCTCGGTCAAGAACTCCACGCGTGTGGCTCGCAGCCCCTGGGCCGGTGTGCCCCCGCTCTACAGGCTCGTCCACGTGCTCAAGTACAGCTACGTGCTGCTGGTGTGCAAGGATGTGCGCTCACCCAACCAGCCTACAGAGTGGTGCGTGAGCCTGAGCCTCAGTCCTGCACGGGGGAGGGAATAGAAGGGGATTGAGCCCCACCCAGAGTTGGGAGGGAGACTGGCTGGCTGAGACTGGCCAAAAATACGGAGGAAGGGAGTCAAAGAGTGAGCGACATCTTGGGCCCAATTTACAGACAGAGATAGGGAGACAGAGATGGAGAGGCAGAGAGCAAAAAGACGTAGAAGATTGAAACAGAACTACTAGAGAAAGCCAGGAAAATGGAGCCAGATCTTACACACACACAAAGAGGAAAAACTGTGATACTGAATTCTAGGAAAGCTATAAGACAAAGGAAATACCAGGGCCAGATCTCATGCTGAGTTGGGGATATGTTTGTAAATAAGGAGGAGAGTTGAACAAGAGCCAAAATTTCTGCCCTTCCTGAACTTTTAGACTGGACAGGAAGACTATCAATAAGAGAAGGTCACAAATAGTTTACCCCAACTGCATAATGCTACAAGGAGGGGCAGGTGATCTATCCAGGAGTGCCAGGAATCATCAGGGCCGGTAATGTTTCCACTGATCCCAATATTAAGCTGAGACTGTTCCCCATATAGTGTTGGGCTTCTGGCTTCCCTTTAACAGGCGAGGAGGCAAACCCATGTTTCCATGCAGCAAGCAGCCAACCCCATTTGTTCTCAGGTTTGCCCTGTACCTTGCTGCTCTCTGCCCCTTCTTGTGGAGTTGCTTCCTTATCCTGCCAACGAGGCACCTGTAGGTATGAGTTAGAGACCCATGGCTGAGAAGCCATAGAAAAAAATGGGCAGAGCATTTAAGAACAGGCTACTTGAGTCCAGCTCACCTGCTTACTGGGTGGGCATCTCTGAGCAGTGGGCTTCACATAGTTAAGCCCTAGTTTCTTGTCTTTCAAGAGTTTATTAGGCACTTGGCCCTTTTATGACTACATCACATCATTTTATCCCCTTGTTTAGTGCTCTCAACAATTCTTTGGAGTTGTTATTTCAGCTCCAGTTTCCAAGTGAGAAAACAGGCACAGCATGGTCACAAGACTTTCCCAAGATAACATAGCCAAAAGCAGGAAAAAAAACAGGATTTGGACCTCCACAGTGCAGCTACAAAATCCATGCTTCTGATTTCCACTTTGTCTCCTCCCCTACCACACATCTGTATTTCAACTATGGATTATCAGTATGAGAATCGAATCCGCCAGTATCCCAGATATTGCTTGGTTCTAGGCACCAGCCTGCTTGTCCATTTATCCAAGAAAGTTGTTTTGAGTAACAGTGTACATCGTATGTGTCTTAGAGGCTAAGGTTTCAGTGAGAAGCATCTAATACAGATAAGCGTCAATCACACTTGTAAGATGAAATTTCTCCTAACCAATGGTTTGACCAGGAACACTTCCTGGAGGACAATGCTAGCTCTGCAGTATGAGGGATGAGTCAGAATTGAATGGTAAAAAGAAGGGAAAAGGGAGCTTTATGAAGGAAAAGAGAATTTACAGTGTGGGTGGCATTGGAAATGGAAAAACACCGATGTTTCAAAGAACTTTTGGAGGTATGCTAAATGGTTTTGATTCTGTGGGGTAGGGAGAGTATCCCAAGGATTGTCTTAACAGGTGTGTAGATTTCAAAACAGGGCTCGGTCATTCATTTGTCAGCCCTTAATATTAGGGCATTGGTTCCAGGGCACCAAAATCCACATGTGCTCAACTCCCTTACATAAAATTGTATAGCATTTATATAAAGCCTGTGTACTTCCTCCTATATACTTTAAATTTTCTCCAGATGACTTATAAAATAATGTGTGTAAATCCTGTATAAATAATTATCCTACTTTATTGCTTAGAGAACGAAGAGAAAAAAGTCTGTGCATGTTCATTACTGGTACAATTTTTTTAAAAATATATTCCATTTGTGGATGGGTAAATCCGCAGATGGGGAATCTGTAGATATGAGGGCTGATTGAACTTACTGAGCACCTATAGGGCCCATATACTGTTCTAGGTTCTGGGGATACAGAAGAAATAGGCAAAAATTCCTGTCCCTGTGAAGTTTACATTTAGAGAAGTAAAACACAGTATTGAAGCATCAGTAGGTGTGATACTGGAAAGGTAGGTGGCTTCACAGAAAGGTGACCTTCCCTGAATGGGAAGGGGACCTCTGTCCTAGGGACTGAAATACCTAGGTTCAAAGAATTCAGGTCTGAGTCTCACAAAAACCCATGAATTGTTCTAGGAAAATGTACAGGATAAAATCCCATGAACTTGCTACTTTGGTAGATGGAAAGTGGCTGAATGTTAGTTTGTTATGCTTCTACTCAGTAGCATCATGTGGCTATATGTTTGTGTTTTATTATATCAATTCATGTGTTTAAGAGTTTTCTAAATTTGTATCAATTATATTACCAAAAAATCTCCAACCCTTGACATAGATTTTTAAAATTTAGCAGGCTCATGGGCATGTATATAAGAGAAAAGAGTGTGTTATGGATCCCTTTCTGGTTTAAGAAGAAACTTTGTTAGTATTTACTGGTGGTTCTCAAGGTGGCTTCTGAGGAGAATTGCCCTTTTCAAGAACCACTAGAAAGAAATGTGGGATTGTGCTACTGTTATTTGCTACCAGAAGCTGGGACTTCTTAAGCATATTCCAGTCCCTGGTCTGTTACCAGGGTCAGCAAACTGGAAAGCCCTCTGGCCAAATCCAATCTACAGTTTTGTTGGAACAGTCATATTCATTCATTTATATATTATTTATGGTTCATTTGCAGTGGAGTACCAGAATAAAAAGGGGTGATCAAAACATACAGGTGTCTAGATTTTAAAAATTTGTTGCAATAAAAACAACTTGCCATTAATCTTCCTCAAAGCATTCATTTATTGTATTTTTAATCGTACTTTGTAAAGACACTTGTGAAAGAAGACTCCTAGAATTGCTTTAGAAAGTGCCAAGAATGATGGGCTAATGTTTGAAGCAAGGGGGATTAATGGCAATAGGTATTTTATTGCAATAAATTGTTCTTTAAAATCTTTAAACATACACTGTATTTTTAATCATTCTATATTGCATTTGCTTTCTTACCACTGGCAGAAAGTTTGCCAATCCCTGCAGTATAAACCTAGAGCTTCATTTCTGAAAATGTTGAAAGCATACTTGCTCATAAAAAAAATGCTATACTTCCTTTCTGAAAGTAGAAGCTCAGAGAAATACCACTGATTTTTTTTCTTTTTTCTTTCTTTTTTTTTTTTTTTTTTTTTTTTTTTTTTTTTTTTTTTGAGTGCTGGGAATCAAACCCAGACACTTTCTCTTCCTATCTTACTGCATTTGTTTTAATACTGGTTGTAACAGTCTAAAATGATTTTGTGTTATGGACTGTGGCCTGCAGTTTGAGAACCACTGTCCCAGACAAACTTACACACACAGTTGTGTAAGAGAGGGTCCACTGAAGTGTGATCTTGGGCAAAGGGTGACCTAAAAACCCTATAGTAGTCAGTGGGATCTTGGACTGGGACATTAGCCATTAAAAGGTATGATTTCAAAGAGTCTGGGCAGTCTTTGGAGTGAAGAAACAAGTTGCAAATGGATATACAGATGGTAATGAGTGTACTAATCTATTACTGTTTTATTTATTTATTTATTTTGGTCTTTTTCCTTTTTATCGGTACCAGGGATCGAACTCAGGACTGCCTGCTTGAAAGGCAGGTGCTTATGCCGCTGAGCTAAATCCCCAGCCCTCTATTACTGTTTTTAGAAAACAAACAACAACAACAAAATTCTACCATGAATGTGGTGGCTTAAAACAAGAATTTATCATCTTGCAATACTGCCAATCATAATGTGGGTGTCTAAACTCAAGGTGTCTCCAGGGTTGTGTTCCTTCTATAATCTCTGGGAGAACCTGCTTTATATTAAAGCATCTGGAGCCCACCCGCATTCTCCATTCAGAAACCTTTCCATTTTCAAAGCCAATAGAGTAGCTTTTTCTCTCTCTCTCTCTCTCTCTCTGATCCTCTTACTTCTTTGTGTCCTTTCTAAGGAACCTATGATGGCATCAGACCTACCCTGAGAGTTCAGAATCTCCCACCTGGAGATTCTTAATTTAATCATACCTGTAGAATCCCTTTGCTATGTAAGGCAACATTCACTTTTCAAGTGACCAGATACGACCATTTGGGGTAGTCATTATTCTTCCTACAAACATAGGAAGCAAAAGTTTCAAAAGTAAACTTTCAAAAATACCATACACATCCAAGAAAGAACACACATCATACATGTGCAATTGATGAATTTTCCCAAAACTAAACACACATTTAACCAGCCCCCCAGAATAGTCTTGTCCCCTAGAACCTTTGTAACTCCTTCAGGGTTGATTAACCACACAGAGGTGCTTTCAAATCTACTAACAGCAGAAGTTAATGTTGCCCACTGTTGACGTTTATATAAACAGGAATCCTATCACAGATTTTTTTGTGTGTTTGGCTTTTTTCAAACAGCAGATGTGTGAGGTTCATAGTGGCATACTGTTTTGATTAGTGTGATTTTTTTTTAATATATCAACTTATTTTTTTCATTTTGTATATTTGAGCTGCACATACTGGCTACTACAAGTATGTTGCTGTGAACGTACCCCTGCATGTGTCTCAGTGGCCATGTGAAGGCATCTGTGTTGAGTAAGATCATGAGAGGAGAAGCATAGAAGTTGCTTAGCAGACACAGCCTCATGGTTTTCTAAAGTGGTTTCAGCATTCAACATGGATAAATGAGAATTCCAGTGGATGTACTGTCCATCAATCCTAGATGTTATCAGTCTCTTTGCTCTAACATTTTTATTTACTCTTTTAAAAAAAAAAAAAATGAGTCTCACCACATGGCCTAAGTTAGTTTCAAACTCCCAGGCAAATAGCTGGGCCTTGCCAGATGTGCCACTGTGCCCAGCTGATCAATCTCTTTAATTCGGCATGCTAAGGGTGTGCTGTGGTGTTTCCCTGGGCTTTTTATTGGTTATTTCTTTGAGTTTGAGCACCTCTTTATGTATACCAAGTTTCAAAACAGATACACACCTCATAAGACTTGTGGTGTGAAATGCCAGTTTTGGTAGTGGCTGCCTTTGGGGACAAGGAGGGAAAAGAATTCAACAGGAGAGGAGCCACAGAGATCTTCCTGCTTCCTCCCTATTATTGCTAAACCAGAAGCAGATATTGACTGATGTAAGACATTTTACTGCAGAAATCTTTTTTGGGAGTATAATAAAGCAGTTACTGATTTTTGACAGACTTGGCAGTGCTGAGTACAGGACTTGTGCAAGCATGTCGTGCTTACTGTGTTCTAGATACTATTTTAATTTCTTTACCTGTATTGCTTTTTTTTTTCCTTTCCTTTTTTTTTTCTTTTTTTCCGGTACCTGGGATGGAACTCAAGACCGCCTGCTTGCAAGGCAGTTGCTTATGCCGCTGAGCTAAATCCCCAGCCCACCTGTATCACTTTTTAAAAATCTCCAACCATCCTATGAGGAAGGTCTGATTGTTACTTTTAATATATGGAGAAACCAACGTAACTGGACAAAGTTATCTGCCCAATATCATATAACTAACATATCCTTTGGGCTTTCTAGTTTTCTCTATGCTGGAAACAATGAGAGAGTGAGAAAGACAGACAGAAACTCGAAGGAAGGAAAGGGGTGTGGCAGAGGGATGTGACAGTGATTCCTTCCGCAGGTCCTGCCAGCCCAGCTGCCCGGCCTTCATCACCCTGAAGCTGAGCCCGCTGCGGGATCGCCTTGTGGTGTCAGAGTGCCAGCTCACCCACTCACATCCAGCCTGCCCACGTGGGTTCGCCTACCACTTCCGCCCAGGCCACCTGCTGGCCAACGCCTGCCTACCTGTGCGAATGACCAACCAGATCTCCAAGCAGTTCGTGGCGCCAGACGATGTGCGCCGCCTACTGTCCTACTGCAAGGGCCCTGACCATGGCGTCCTGGATGCCCTGCACGTGCTGGAGGGGCTCTTCCGCACTGATCCAGAGGCCAAGGTAGGATCTCACTGGAGGTATGATGGGAAATAGCAGATCAGTTCATTTATTCTGCCAGGAGAACTGAGTGATTCATTCATCCCTCTGCCTGCTCATCCCTTCACTCCTTCCCACATTCATTCATTCATTCCTTTCTACACTAACCATCTTCTGAAGCCTTGGAGTGCAGTGATCAAGACATATGGTCCCTGTTGCTGGCTCCCCAGTGGCATTTACAGCTCTGATGGAAGTGTCAGTGGCTCTGTGCTGTCCAATGTGAGCCCCAGCTACATGTGGCTGTTGAGTGCTTCAAATGCAGCCTGTACCATGAGGATCTAGATTTACTTTATTTTAATTAACGGAAATTTTAAATAGCCATGTTTGTCTGTTGTCTACTGTGTAGTTAATTCTGGAACCACTTTGCAGTTCTAGTGGGAGAAACCAATGGTGAACAGATGCATCCACAAGGGTCAGGGTGGTGGAAGTGTTGGATGCTGGGAAGTAGCTGAAGTGAGAGAAGGAACACTGAAATTTTCTTCTTAAAGTGAAACACACAAATAGAAAATGCACAAGTGATAAGGATATAGTTTACAAATGTTCACAAGGTGAAAACAGTCCTAACTTACCACCTAGAGCAAGAATTAGAAGGGGTGTTACATTGTAGACTATGGTGGAGGGAAGATAATTACGGAGCAGAAAAAGATGAGGGTAGGGCAGTTGTTAGTGGGGGCTAATCTTTTATTTCTTTTTTTAGTGGTGAGGGGGAAATCAAACCCAGGGCCTCATGTATGTTAGATATGTAACACTGAGCACACCCCGCCCTGGAAGTCCTCCTTAAGGAAATGGTGGTGAAGCAGGGGTGCTAGATGGAGAGAAAGGACTCCCATCCTGTTGTGAGAGGGAAGAAGCAACAGCCAGTGTTGAACACTCTCAGCTGCTTTTATCCAACTTCAAGGCTGGGTTAAATGTGAGAATTAAAAAAAAGACAAGAAGGGAAAAAAACTGTTTATCCACCTGGCTGTGTGTTTGTCTCTCATGCATAGAAATGGTCCCAACTCAAGGTAAAGTTGAGATGTGAACCCACTTATGGGATCCAGTTACTCTCTGTTTCATATTCATAATCAGCCCTGATACAAGCCACTGGTCAAAGTGCAGCCCTCTGTGCTCACCAAATATTGACATTGTTCTCTCATTTGATTGAGCACTTACTATGTGGAAGGCATTACTCTTAAGTGCTTTACATATAAATGTAATGAGATGAGATGAGATGAAAATGAGATGTAAGTTCATTTACATCTCATCAGACCCCTGGGAAGAAAGAGCCCTTCATTCTCATCCCTGTGTTACAAGAAAGAAAATGAAGCACAGAGTTACACACGGATCACACATTTACTCAGTGGCAAAGCTAGGCTTTGAACCCATAGTCTAGATCCAAGTTATAGGAAAGAGAAAATAAAGCACAGAAAGGTCAGGTAACTGGACCAACATCACACAGTTACTCAATGGCAAAGCTAGGCTTTGAACCCACAGTCGGATCCAGGTCTGTCTGTAGTGTTCATTGCTGTGCTATACAATTCCGGCCTTGACAAGGTTTAGGCCCCCACCCATGTCAGTTTGCTCTTCTACACGAATGGGATCTGTACACATGTTCTCTTTATTCCATTAGGCATCACTGAATTACTAGCCACTAAATAAATAAATATTAGCCACTGAATAAATAAACCTCAGTTGTTCTTTCCCAAAAGCACCCTCTGTAAGGCTGCTCCTGAGCAAAGCAGCTCATTCCTAAATTAAAACTGTCAAGGAAAGGGATTAGCCCTTGAACCTCCATGGTGGAAACCACTTATGGTACCCAGACTAAACCAGGGTTGTCTCCTGGCTCTGCATTTTGGCCACCCTCATACTCTTAAAAGAAATGAAGAGGAAGGCCTCAGACCAAAAAACAAGCCAACAAAAGGTTACTACTTTTCTTTTTCATGTTCTTCCTTTCTGTTTTGGGTGGGGTTTGTTTGTTTTGATTTGCTTATTTGAGACAGGGTCTTGCTATACAGTTTAAGCTGGCCTTGAACTCACTATCTAGCCCATGCTGACCTCAAACTTGCAGTGATCCTCCTGCCTCAGCCTCTCAAGTGCTGGGGTTACAGGTGTACACCACCAAACCCAGCAGGTTATTCCTTTATAAAAATATTTAGATGTTTAATTTCTGACTACATAACATATTCACATGGTCCTGAAATCAAAAGAGTACGTGGTGAAAAATCCCCTTGTCACCTCCTGTGCCCCAGGCCTGTACTTCAGCGGTTACCCAAGTCACTGGTTGTTTATGCCCTAAATATTTTTCTGTTTTATGGCCCCTAACTGCTCAGTGGAACTTCTTGCAATGGTAGAAATATTGCACATGCTGTCCATTACTGCAGCCATGCATCATTTGAAATGTAGCTAGTCTGATTGAGGAACTGGATTCTTAAACTTTGTAATTGAAATTTAACTATTCCCATGAGCTGGTGGTATCTGTACTGGGCAGTACAGTGCTACGTACATACAGGTAAGTGTGCACTCCTCTATTTTAACATTTTTTCCTCTACCTCACAGCCAACCCCATTCTGTAGGGTTCTGTACTGTACACAGTTTCACATCTTGCTTTATATGTCCAGGGGTGCTAGATATCAGCATCTTTCAGTCTTCCTCTGGGACTAGTCAGATCCACCTGAGAAAACTCCTTGTGGCTAGGGGATGAAAGTGGGGGAAGAGGGCTGTGAGCTGGTATTAGTCAGCAGTGTGCACTTAGTCCCTTTTTGGGGCTTAGGATCCCTCCTTCCTCACCCTTAGAAGTGCCTGATGTCACCAAGGGCAGTGCCTCATTCTGCTGAATGAACCTCCAGTTACAGGGAAAAACTGCCAAGGGAAGCGAGAAAGGGAATTATAAGATCTGAAGGTCAAGCTGCTTCCTCGGTAGTAGCCTCAGTGGCTTCTCACTGTCTGCCATTGCAGGGCTTTGCAAGGACTCTGCTCTTGATTCTTAGTTCCCCTCAATTGCTACTTTAGTGTTCATGATTTCTTGTAGCATGGTGTGAGTTAAGGGTCAGCTTGTTCCCAAGTTTTGTACCTGTTATCTTTCCTATTTCCCCTGTCTTTAGAGAACACAACAAAGCTATTTTCTCCAGATGTGCTTGAGGCTCAGGAGAAAGTGAAATTAAAGAGGTGTGTTCAGTATGTTGCCTTTAGACAATTTCTCATTGGTTATAAAATCTATTGAGTCCTTTATTGTTAATGTAATACTAACATAAGATAAGCAACAGGCATATACTGTGTTCTTCCTAGTGGTCTTCAAAAGGGTATATCAGCTTCACCTTACTATTACAAAATATCCCAAACCATTAATTTATAAGGGAAAAAGAGAAATCCATCCCCAGTTCCAGAGAAGTGCCAACCTAGGATCAAGCAGCTCCATTGCTCTGGGCCACTGGAAAGAACAACATATCCTGGCAGGAGCACATGGAGAGGCAAACTCCTCACCTCATGAGGCAGATGGCAGAGAGAGACCTTGGGGACAGGCAGGTTCCACAGTCTCTTGGGCTCATAGCCCAATGATTTAAGGAATCTTCACTAGCCACCTCCTAAAGGTTCTCCCACCCCTCCTGTTAGTGCCATCCGGGACCCAGCCTTCAACACAGAGCACTCTGGGGGATACTACTGACACTGAAACCACAGCAGGAGAGCAGCTTTTTTGGTCTTGGAAGGGATCAAACAAGAAGATAACTCCCTAAGAGCCACAAAGCACATCTTATACTCAAGACTGGATGGCTGCTTCACTCAGGGAGATGTTAAGACCTTTTCTAACTTGCACCAAGGCAGGGATGGCCAGCTGCAGGGTCCAGTCATTTGCCATTGCGTACTTGTGGGCTTCCAGTGACCAGCCAGCAAGCAGGCTCTGGGCAGAGAGAGGCCTTGCATGGCAAAGCACCCTTCTCTAGTGTATGCTCTGCCTTCTGAGAAAAGCAATTGTTGATTAAATGTGCTTCTTTCAAGACTATTAAGTGGTAAATCAGTATGATTAGAGAGCAACTAAGGTCATACATCTAAATGACTGAAGCACTCACCCTGTGACCCAAATTCTGTTGCTTGTATTTCTTGTGCAAACGACAGTTGCATAGCTTGGAATGATTTCTATATGGTGTCAATCACTGTGACTCATGAAAGCACAAGATTAGAAATAGCCAAAACTCACCAGTGGATAATGGTTTTATCATTTGTGGCACCTCCATTTATGAAATATTATAAAGTGCTAACAACTAGGAAAGGTCTAAGAACAGATATGGTAAGATCTTTCAAATACATTTTTAAGTTAAAGAAAGTTGCAAAATAGTGTAAATAATATGCTTTGTTATGCACAAAATGGTAAAAATAGGAATTATAAATGTGCTGGCATATACTTACATAAAGAAAGTAAAAGAATACCAAGAGGCTGGGTCTAGTGACCCATGCCTATAGTCCCCACAGTTGGGAGGCTGAGGAAAGAGGACTGCCTGCCGAGAGTTCAAGACCAGCCTGGACTACCTAATGCAACTCTGCATCAGAAAAATAAGAATACCAAGAAATATGGATGAGGGTAGGAATAATGAATGTGAACAGGATAGTTAGTAAAAAGAAATAGGAGTGAGACAGTCAGTATGGTTTTTCTTTATTTGACATATAAACTTCTGGATCATATGAACTTATTTGCACATTCAAATAATTTTTTAAAAGATAAAAAATGAACACTAGTCACCAATATACTGTATCTTTTGGTTTCTCTCTTGAAAAGAAAAATTAGGTGAGTGATGTCAGGCAGGATGGCCTGGGCTCTGCTCTAATAAGGACCAGCCTTCAAATTGTGGTGCCTTAACTCATTTCCTTCCTGCTCATCCACACAGGTACCATGAGAGGACATGGCAAGTACTGCTTGTTTGTTGTTTGTAGATGCAGGAGGGCAGGCATCTATGCCAACATAATTGCCATATCCTTCAGGGAGATCCTAGAAATGAGGCCTAAGGTCACATCCAAATCAAGTCACACCTATGCAAGTGCCAGTGCCCAGTGCTGTGGGAACACAAATGCTTGGCAAAGGAGCAGAAACTTTATGGGGGGCTGTACTGCCAAGGTCCTGCCAAAGCCCTGCTGGAATATGGGATCGACCATCAGGCGTAGGGTGCACTTCTGCAATCCCAACAGTCAAGAGTGCAAAGTAGGAGGATTGCCTTGAGTTTGAGGCCAGCCTGGACTACATAGAAAAAACCTATCTCAAAAGCACCAAAGTAAATAAATAAGTAAAAATAAAAATACAGGGTTCATATTTCCACTGCTGTGTAGGCACCTGGGCCTACTGCAGCTCAGTTTGAGTTTTTCTCTCTTATGTCTCCACAGGAATATTCTTCATACCATATAGCCTACTTTCACATCAGACCATCTATTTTTGGGATGACAGAGTAACCGCTGGCAACTTGATTTTATTTATTTCTATGTGTGCTAAAAGCTTTATATGCGTTCCAGCTGTGCCGTTTGCTGTGTGTAGCACATTGAACAAGTTGTGAACAGGCTATTTGATTTCTCTATGCATCAGTTTGTTTATCTGGAAAATGCATATAATAACAGGTAAAGATAGTTGCAGGGGGGGGAAGGAAGAAGAGATGGAGAGAATGAGAATGATGCCCAGAGTAGGAAGCCCTGTGTATGTTAGCTATTTAACTATTGTTTTTGTTATCTGGATCTTTTTCTTCAGGACAAAGTAGAGAATAGAATCATTATGGTGATAGAAGGAAGGAAGGATGTGCTCGCTATCTATAGAAGGAAGGATATTCTTGCTCCTGAGAAGAGGTGTAGATGGGAAATAATAAGTGTAATAGTTTCTGGTGCTAGCATTTGGAGAATCTGCCTTCTACACCAAATGCACTCCTCTGCCACCAATGTATGTGTCCAGAGAAGACACCTGCACTCGTGTGGGTCCTCAAACTGCTCCTCCCTGGGGCTCTCTGTCTCCACAGATGTGCCACCATGCAGTGTGTGCCTCAAGCTCTGAGTCAGGCTTGATTGCTGACATTTAGAAAGCTGTGGGGTGAAGTAATCAGGAACAGACCCTGAGGAGTCCAGTGTGACTGAGGCCATGGTTGACAAGGCAAAGTAAAATCAGAGATCCTGATTTTCCTTCTTTGTCAGTTTTGCCTCACTATAACCAAATACCTGGCACAAGTCCTTTAGGAAGTAAAGAGTGGTTCATTTTGGTTCTTGGTTCTGGAGAGGCAAGTCAAAGAGTAGGTAATCCCGGTGATTTTAGCCTCTGATGAGGGTGGCAAATAATGAATGTGAAAGGACAAGTTCACATCTACAGCCAGGGAGGGGAGTAGGAGGAATGGAAGACACCGAGACTGGGGATGCCAGTGACCTAAAGACCTCCTTTTAGGGCCTACCTTGTAAATGTCCACAAAACCTCCCAATATTCCTACCCCCAAGAACAAGTGTTTAACATGTAGGCCCCATCCCTAGGGTGCAGACTCTTAGTTTTACTTGGAGTTGGTTGGAACATCCTGGGGAAAGTTGTCAAGCAGGGCAGGGGGGAACCTGATGGGAGTGGCAGTCATGGAACTGATGGGAGAAATTGAGGATGCTGGAAACCCAGTGAGTAGGTGGTCATAATTATCTAGACGGGAGAAGGTGGTGGCTCCAGACAGGATGGTGGTCAAGGGAATGAAGAGAAATGGTCAGCATCTGGACTCATTTTGAGGTACATTTGTAGGATTTAGGGATGAAGCATATGTGCAGGGTGGGCAAAGAGGGAAACCAAGTATCAGCCCTGAGTGTTGGGGCCTGAGCTGGAGTGAATGGTGAAGCTGTGGACCAAGGTGGGCTGAGCAACAAGAGGCAGGTTGTGGAAGTGTTAGATATGATTGAGCTCATATTAGCCAAAAATGTCCATTTTATCAGGTAAAGAAACACAGACACATGGAAAGGACGTCACCTGCCTGAGGCCCCACAATAAAAGGCAGATCTAAAATTCAAAAGCAGAGTCTGTCCCCTGAATCTCCACTCCCAAGATGTGGCCATTAGCTCTCACCACATACTCTTCTCATTAGTTCACTCACTCAGGATGTTTTGAGCTACTCAAACATGTTCTCAGTTAGGTACTATGCAAGGTATCAGAGATGCAAAGGAAGCCCTTGGGAGCTTGTGTCTTCAAGAGGACTGCTAGGCAATGGGCAAATTGACAGATATGACAAGCTGGACAGTAGTAAGTGTTGTGTCCAGTAGGAGCTGTTGAGAGATGGGGCATTTGCCTAGTTGGGCGAACACTAACGATCTTTAGAACAGGTGGTTTTTGAGCAGAGATGATGAGGATAGCAGCAGTGAAGTCCTGGAGAGCCCCTCTGGCTTGCTGTGTAGTGTTCCATGTGGCATGATGCATTTCATTCTGCCAGTCACCAAGGGACTCTTACTATCATCACTTAACAGATGACAGTCAGTCACGCTGGGCAGTCTGGCCTCAGAAGCTTTGTTTTTAACAGCTGTCCCCTGTCTCCCAGTGCTAGAAGAAATGAATATTCCATTTCTAGGAGGAGACATTGGAGAACACAGGAGTTATAGAGGAAACAGAGGCACTGAACAGTAAAATCAAGCAGGAAACGGAGATGTGACTCAAATCTGGATGCTTGGGCCATGAGAACATTAGGGGAGAGGGGAAGGGCTTGTCTGCCGTGACCCATGTGGCTCTTGAGGTTCTTGGTGTGAAGGATGGTGAGAGGATAGGAAAATGAAGAGACAAAGTTGGGGTCAGGTAGAGGCCTTATCCTCCGGATGGTACTGCGCAACCACTGTAGCACATTTATTTATATTCCCAAGAAGAATGTCAGTATCAACCCCACTGCCTAGCAACTTGTCTGGCTGGCCTGGGCCCCTTGCCTTCTTGGAGCTGGAACAGTTTGTTTACATGGCTTGTTTTGAGCTTTCTGTGTTTTAATGGCTGATCTTGCATGAGCCCCACACATGTGATCAATCTCCAGCTTCAACGGCTCCCTACACTTGTCAAAACACAGATTGCTGGGTCCTTTTCCCAAATTTCAATCTCAGCAGATCCGAGATGGACCCAAGAATATTTGCTGTCAGGGAATTTGTGGCTGATGCTGACACAGCTGCTCCAGGGCCAAAGCTTTGAGAACCACTGCCCTAGGCGCCCTCAGCACATGAAAGAATGAATACCTACTTTCCAGCAGGAAAACTGAGGTTCAGAGAAGCTAGAAGTGTTCTGTATGCAAATATCATACAGGTATTATGTCAAAGCCAGGAAATGGGGCTCCAGAGTCCCAGGTTTTTAAACATTCCTCCACACTGCCTCCTGCTGGTCAAAAGAATGAATGCGAACATGCACAAAAGTGCTTGCATCCCGGTTTCCCCAGAGCTAGAAGCCAAGCTGGGCAAGGTTTCAGGCGTCCCCTAAACTTTCTTTCACTTCCTACCCGCGCCCGCAGGTGAAGCTGGTGTTCGTGGAGGACCAGGCAATGGTAGAGACTGTGTTCTTCCTGACGTCTCGCACCAGGGCGCTGCTGCGGCGCTTCCCACGCATACTCCTGGTGGACCGGCTGCCGGCGCTTCAGGGCGCGCTGGACCTGCTGGCTGTGCTATGTGTGGATGGTGCAGGTCGTGCACGCCAGGCTGCCTGTTGCGTGGCACGCCCAGGCACTCCGAGCCTCCTGCGCTTTGTGCTGGTCTCGCTGCTGCAGAGTGCGCCTGATGTCAAAGGCCGCGTGCGCTGCCTCACAGCAGGGCCTGAAGTGGCTGCGCAGCTGAGAGCCGTGCGCCAGTTGCTGCCTTGTGCACGTGTTCAAATCTGCCGTGCGCAGGGCCTGGAGACACTCTTCAGCAAGGCACAGGAGCTGGGTGGTGCCAGCCGCGAGGACCCAGGCTTGTGGCCACTCCTGTGCCGCCTGGCAGGCGCTTCGTCCTATGCGGCCTACACCGAGGCACTGGCCGAGCTACGTGCCCAAGGCCCAGATGCCTTCGTCAAATACTTTGACCACAACTGGGCACCCCGCCACGACATGTGGGTGCGTTTTCGAGCCTATGAGGCATCTCGAGACCTGGACGCCTGCGCCCTAGTGCGTGGCCACCGCAGGCGACTCCTGAGTCGCCTTAGCCCTTCACACAGCGTGGCGCAGTGCCTTCGTGATCTGGTGGCCATGCAGTGGGCTGACGCGGCTGGGGAAGCAGCCTCTGAGGGCGCTGATGGCCGAGGGATGTGGCTGGAGAGCCAGCTCGGGAGTGGGGCCCAGGTGGAGGATATGAGGGACCTAGAGACCGGTGACACAGGAGAGATCCCGCCAGAAAGGGAGAAAGGGAGGGATTTGCAGAGGAGAGATTGGCCAGAGGCCCATTTGGAGAACCAGAAAGGAAGAGTGCTAGAACGGAGTGTCTGGAGAGGGGCTCAGTTGGAGAGAGGGCATTTGCGAGGGCCAGAAGTCAGAGACTGGAGGGGACCCCATGTGGAGGATGGAAGCTGCAGGGTGCTGGAGATCACAGACCCAAGGGGAACCCAGTTTAAATCAGAGAAAGCTAGGTCTTTGGAAGGAAATCTTTGGAGGGGCTTGCAGCTGCAAGATGAAAGAGCAAATGTACTGAAACCCCGAGAATGGAAGAGACCAGAGTTGGAAACAGAGAAGGGAAGAGGGGTGGCTGTCAGAAACTGGCGTGAGATCCATTTGGAGAAGTCTTTGGAATTGGTTCCTGAGAATGGAGACCAAAGGGGTGCTCAGTGGACAGGTGAGGGGCGGAGAGGGCCAGAGATTGCAGAGACAAGAGGAGGGCAGTCAGGGGTCAAAAGAAGACGGGGCCTGGAGGATTTAGTGGTAGTCCACCTGGGAGACACCAGGGCCACAGGCATGGCAAATGGAGATGCCGGGGGAGCCCGGCCTGTGGGCTCCAAGAGCAGGGCAGGACATGGGATGGAGTGGGGGGACACAGGAAGAAGGTGTTCAGGACTGGGGAACGGAGTCCAATGTACCACTGCCAGGGGGCCTGTGTTAGAAAGCAATCAAGAGTGGGCAGTGATGAGTAGTGGGTCCCTGGCTGCTGGAGAAACCTTGCAGGTTGGAAGTGAAGAAGAAAGCCCAAGGGAACCAAAGAGGCTCTGCCGCCCCTCCCGAGAGGAAGAGATAGATTGGGAGCCACTGTCCAAATTCCGAGCAGCCTGTGGGCCAGAGCTGGCAGACCTGGTGGCTGAGGAGCTGGCCTTTGCTAGGCAGCATGGCACCCGGGGTTTCCACTGGACTGGAACTTGCTTTGCTCTTAAAGATGGCTCCTCAGACTTTTTCTTGGATGGAGCCCTCACGTACTGTAGCTGCTCAATCCACGCCGCCCATCGTTTGCCCTGCCGGCACCTCTTTGCAGCACGTCTGCTCACTGGGGCTGCTTTATTTCACATGGACCTGCTCAGGGATTGCTGGGGGAGTGCCCAAGAGCCCTGACCCTTCAGGCTCCTGCCTGCCACTCTCTATGTGGAGGACAGGCCTTCTTTTATCCCAAAGATAACAGGGCTGAGCTATTGAGGCCACCCCTGTCCCTCTGGCCACTTCCTGGATCATCTAGGGACCTTATCTTGCAAAATTGTCTCTCTGGCTTAAGGGGAAACTGACAGTGTTTTCTGAGGTCCTGGAGCCACAGCTGTAGAAAATGCTGGTGGCCAGGTTGGGCTCAGAGGACTACCCTCAGGAGAGGAATGTGAGGAGAGGTACAGACAAGAGTCAGGCCAAGGCAAAAGACAAGAAAGGGGCAGGACTGGGGGAAGGGAAGGAAAGGGGGAGGAGGACACCAGGCTCTGGGGAGACTGGCAGGAGTAGACTGGTCATCACTGGAATTGGAGGGCCAAAGATGGAAAAGCAAGGGAAAAAGTGTAGAACAAAAAGATACAAAGGAAAGGTGAGGGCAATAAAGGTAGAAGGGAAAACACAAAGCAAGGGCAGAAGACAGAAGAAGAGGCAGAAATAGAGAAGATGAGAAAACATGGCAAGGTGGGAAGGGAGGGCAGACGAGGTGACAGGGAGGACAGAAAATTTTGAAAAAAGCAAGTCAGAAGTGGTTGGGGTTTTTCTCAAGAGCTTCATACTGGGCCTCCCGGGACCTTCTGGTTTTTCATTGCAAAATGAGAGATGACACTAAAAGCCTGGGGGAATGAGCTGGAGACTCCCCCTGGGAAGGGAACTGTCTGGGTTATTGTACTTCAAGACAGGAATAAAACAGTATTATTTTGGTTTCCATGCTGAGTTCATGTCTTCTGGGAGAGGGTGGGAGGCTTGGATCCAGAAGAAAATTGAGGTGGCCTACTATCCTTTTATTTCCATCAACAAGTCCTTGCAGAGCCAGGTGAATGGAACTGAATCATCACAGCAGCTCAGCCGTTACCCTCCCTCACCCAGCCCAGAGCACAGAGCTGGCAGCTTCCAAACATCCATCAGTTCTACCTCAAATGATGACATGCTGATTATCCTTGCTGATGACTGGCTGAGAATGGACATATAATCCAGGCAGGACAATGAATCTGTTCAAATTTGGGTGAGAGGCTCTGAAAAAGCTCACTCCTAAGAAGTGCCAGAATGAGACAAGTCTACACCTGCTCTGAACTACTTTGGGCCAGAGTGACAGCAAAGCCTGTGCTGACAAGGACTGAACTGAGACATGAAGAAAATCTGGAAAGCTGCTTGGCTCTGATGAGTCTGAAATCTGCTCTATCACTGGGTTCTGAAATAAAGGATATATCCTGATGATTTAGGGAAATTTGAGTTGAGATTTCTGTTGTCATAATTGATGAAGGTGACTTTAATGTAGCTTTATAAAGTCCAGTGTGAGGTGTTTGGAGACTTCTCAAACATTAGCATGAATATCGAAGGTGCTTCAATGGTGGGGTACAGAGTTGGATTCAGTAGTCCAGGTTGGGGCTTGAAATTCCAAAAAGGTCTCTGATACAGTTGATAGATCCTGCAGTGCTTATAATTACTTGGAATGACAGTGAAAGACTTTAGTAATAGACAACTCAGTGGCTCAAGTCACAAGAAATCAAAGGCTTCTACTATAGATAAATACAAGGGATCAAACAATGTCAAATCTCCCCTATCTCATTTCTCCTGATCTTTATTTATGTGGCAAAGAAAGCCCTCCGATTTTGGATGAGAAAGATAGGTACTTTAAGAGCTGTGGCATCATGTGCTCATATCTTGATCAAAAAAGACCTTTCTATAAGTATCCATACAGTAAATCTCAAAGAAGAACCTGATAGGACTCAGAAAATATATCAGTTATTACTACATTACTGCTGTGTTAACAGCAATAACACTTTAGAGATATATCAGTAAGCATTTATTGCTTATGTGTCTTTAGTCACCCGATGGGGTGGGGGAGGGGCAAGTCCTTTGCTTTTCAAAATGTTATCCATGGAACAGCATCATTGACTTTTCTTAGGAGCAGGTACGTAAGAAATCTAGAGTAGGAGGTTTTTGGTCAATAAAACAGACAAAGAGCAGGTGCTTATTCTTAAAACTGGACCTTATAGGACATGTTTAAGAGGAATAATGAAGAAATGTAATTTTGACCAAGGGAATAACATGTATAAGTGTAGTTTACCCTTGAGGAAGGCAAAAAAAAAGATTAAAAAGCCAAAGTTAATAATCCTTAACTGTCTACCTGCATGCCCAGCTCACAAGTGAAATCAGTCCTTTCAGTCCACTTCTTCTGAAACTTCCTCCTCCAAGAGACCATCCTGGGGCATTCTGTATAAAGAGTCACTTCATCCTCTTTCTCCACTTTATTTTCCACAACACTTAGTGCTACCTGGAATGGTATTGATGTGGAATTCAGGGTCAAACCAAATGGGAGACATGGCACCATAGAGACTGTAGAAGGCAGCTTTATTTTGTTAGTCGGCTGGTAAGAATCTCAGTTGCAAATCATTAGCTGTGATTGGAGTTTTCCAGTCATTTATATATGTTTCCAAAAGGAAGTACAAATGGCAGATGACATAATATCCTATGATTGGCTACATATGTCTTTGTCACTAATTGTTAGGCAGAATTTATTCTTACAGAAACAGCAACTAAAATGAGGTTGCTATCACACAACATAGAGAAAGAATCCATTGTTGGTTGAGACTGGCTAGTGATGTCCTTTAAGTGATTACTCTCTGGGACTCAAAATCAAGAAACATTTCTTCCTGGCTGAGCTACGCTTGGAGTTGGTGTCTGGTATGTCAAAGCTTATCAAGTTTGTAGCTAATCATGGGAACAGGTTGGGTCTTCTGGTCTCATATTTGAATGGTGTTAGAAATATGATTAGTATTGGAAATACAAGTTTTAAAACTTCCTCTGCATTAAAATAGCTTCTGTAGTACTACTTAACTCTTTATCAATATGGCATTGTGATTAAGCTTATCAAGTGAAAAGCCAGACTGCCTGGATTCAAATCCTATCTCTACCCATGTGACCTTCAGTTGCTTAACTTTTCTATCCTGCTGTTTGGGAATAGTAAAGTACTTATCTCATAGGGCTTTTTGGCAATAAATGAATTAGTGTGCGTACAAATGTTGTAACATTTCTTGCATTTCTGCTTTCTCTAAGGTGTCCCAATTGTCTATTTACATCCTGGTTTCTCCAATGACTTATGTTCCACATTATTAACAGTTCTACCACAAAAACAAAAGCTCCATTTTGTTATCCATAGTACCCCCAATACTGGTATAAAGTAAACTCAGAGGTAGAAACATCACCAGCGAGCCCAGGTCCTTCCTTGAGTAATTAAGGAAATTAAAACAGGCATTCAGCACAAATTTGAAGGAAAATAGCTTTAATTAGAAAATAAGGGAAAATGAAAGTGAGGGACAGCTTAAAGAACATCAAGCTATCCCTGTAACAAAGGAAAGAACAGGAAAAAGAGGAGAGGCATTAGTTTGAGGAATTGAAGGGGGCACAGCTCTGAGGAAGAGGATCAGGCTGGCCTGCCATCAAAAGAACAAGGATCAGTTTTCTGGGGTTCTGGGCTAGACTGCAGTCTGGTTGGTCAGCTTCTCAGTCCTGGGTCTGTAGCTCCAGTGGATGCCATGGGGCGTGAGAGGCAGTTTGGTTCCCAGGAGATGATTGTTCTTGCTGAGGGAGTGGGAGACGCACGCTCAGTTCTCATACAGGGATATAGCTGCTAGGTTGGGAAGTGAGCTCATCATGGCCTGGTCTGTGAAGCTCTGCTTTTCCTGGAGTGGATATGACTTCAGGTTTAAGACAAGCTCCAAGATGATTTCAGGCGTAATGCATCTCCGCAGAGGTTTGGAACTGGATGCTGTAAAGGCTGGCAACTGGATGTCCTTGCAAATCCTGAATTTAGTTTCTTTTACCCTGGTGCCCTCAGTCTTGAAGGGGATGGGATCGTCTAAGTAAATTTAGAGCTAATAAATTTTGTAATAGACACTGTTTATGTGATTAACATGTGCAGAGCTAAGCTGGGATTTGAGTTTCAAAGACAAAAGGAGACAAAAAATGAAAGCAGATACCAACTTTATTTCCTGTTTTTGAGTATCTGCCTTTACCTTCCTGTTAGGGAAAGATGAAAGAATAAAAATGGAATACTGGCTAGGAGGGCCCTAGCCTATTATCGTTGCTATGGTGATAATGGAGTTTGCTCTGAGAATAACAAATTCACCCATCTTGCCTTCCCTTAAATCCTGCAGAAGCAGCTAGACAAGTACAACTCCCAACCACTGCCCAGTCTCTCACGCTTGCGCAGTACAATCTATTGTTTGCCGCAGCTTAGTCTGAGCTTGTGCGGGCTGCAGGGGTGCTGGCTCCCTGGGGGAGAAAAGAGTAAGGGGGCACTGTTTACTCTGTAAGCTCTGTGGATCTTACTCCTAAGGAGTCTTACCACAGACTGGAGCTCTTTTGGTATCCAGGCAACGCCCCCTCCTCCACCTTCCCCTCCCAAAGGATTGGTGTTGCCTTGGCAACTCAGGGGCTGTAAGAGACCAAGAATGGGGATTAGAGCTATGGGAGGAATTAAGGGTAATAATCATAGAATGGGGATGTTTGTGGAGGGATGTGGTTTGTTATGGAGGAAGTGGGTTTAAATCATTGTTATGCTCCCATTAGGGGAGTGGAGTGTTTTAAAAGGAGTGGATATGTTTTGATTGAACTGCTTTGTAATAAGGGGACAGGGGAGCTCCCTGAGAAATCAGTATGTGAATAGATAACCAGGATACTTTGGATGAAGGGGAAATGCAGTAGGGAAAATTGGAGTGCTAAACTCATTCTGCATTTCTGCACAAAGCTTCTACCATGTGCACAGCCATATATTGATAATACCACGGTGAGCAAGGCTGATGCATTTACGTGTGGAACTGGGATGTTTGTAGCAGAGTCCGAGTGGTAGAGGCATAGAGGACTCTTGTATCCTATTAGCGTAATGAGAGTGAAGGGGGCAGCCTGTTTGGATTGGAAGTAAGGATGAGAATTAAGATAAAGACTGCTTAGCCTCATATGCCAAGATTCAGGGTCTGATCTTTATTTGAAATGTTTTTGTGAAGTTGTTAGATTTTATGAAAGAATAACATGCTTTAATAACCTCATTCTGGCTGTGGGCATAGACATTAGGGAACAAGGATGGAAAGAGAGGCCAGTCAGGATGCTGTTGCAGGGCTCCCTACTAAAGATGTCAATGAAAGTGCCTTAAGGCAGAAAGGCAATGCTAATAGAGACAGAGAGTCATATGGATTCAAGGGATGCTTAGTGGTAGAATGAAAAAGGACACCTTGAGAACCGTAATTCCAATGAGAGAAGATAGGCATTAATTAAATCTGCTAAAGAAATGGGTTGTGGACAACCTAGGAAGATAATTAAATGTGGATGACCCTGATTCTAATTCCAGTTCTGTTACTTGCTTGTTGTGTGACCTTAGGCAAGTGAATGACCTCCTATGTGTATAAGATGTGATGGTTATGGTAGCCATCTCATTAATTCGTGTAGCATTGACAGCAGTAACACACAGAATGTGAAGCACTTCTTTTCATCATAAAATTATTGTAATCATGAAATTATAAAGTTCATTTTATTTTATTTTTTTTATCAGTAGCGGGGATCAAACTCACGACCTCCTGCTTGCAAGGCATGTGCTTATGCCACTGAGCTAAATTCCCAGCCCCAAAATTATGAAGTTTAAAACAGGACTCGAATATACAAATCCCAATTTTCTTTCTCATCCTGTTATAGCACCTTGGAAGAACCCTG